TTCAGTGACGCATTAAAATGAATTCTTGCCAGATTATTAAACATTAAAAATAGACCAAAAATACGGAATATTTAGACAAAATATTGTTTTTCTCTTCCTCAACAGTGTTTTGGGCAAGGACGGAGAAAAATTGGGGGATAGGCTGCAGTTGCAGTCCAAACAGATCATTTCCCTCACTTTTGCACAGAAACGATAGTCCTGGTCGACAAAATATCTTCAAAATTCAGTGACGCATTCAATTGAATTCTGGCCAGATTATTAATCATTAAAAATAGACAAAAAAGACAAATGATTTATACAAAATATTGTTTTTCTTTTCCTCAACAGTGTTTTGTGCAAAAACGGAGAAAAATTGGGGATAGGCTGCTGTTGCAGCTAAACATATTATCCGAGCTCGGTAACTAAAGAAAATCAAACAATGGCCACTTCAGATTCTGTTAAAAGAATTCGTTTTGATTCGTCTCATGCCAATTTAATGGTCATACAAAAAAATAAAAAAAACAAAATGGTGATTTTTTTTTAACCGATTGAGCAATTTCATTATTTTTTTCTTTTTTAAAGTAGCTTATAAAATTGGCTTTCCAGTCATCATTACGTTTAGTGCTACATATTTCTTTTAAATATGAAATATATTTTGGGGGTTTTGTCTCACCCTGTAAGAAATGTGTATCCCCGCGAAACAGAAATCCAGAGATTGTCGATCGCTAGCGACATAAATTTTGAGCTGCACAAAACAAACTTTGTGAGACCAGGATCGGTCGTGAGACATCAGAGATCCAGACTATCGAGACCCTATCTGACTGTGAGTGTGGCCATTTGTGTGTATATATAGTGATTTATGACAAATTAAAGATTATTTTCAAGTTGCATTAATTACCTGGATGATAAAAGTGACTTTTAATTCTCTACATTTGAATCTGGACGAGTGGATGAATTAATCATCATTATCCATGATAGTGGAATTTATCATTTTATTAAAATCTTAGAGAGAGAGAGTACTTGATGCATTGGAATCCTTTTAGGAAATTTGAAGCTTTATGAGAACCGATTTGTTAAACCATTGTTGATAGGAATTAGGAGATATATATATGAACTAGTTTCCTAAGGGGTTATTTTGTATGAATGTAATCTTTGTTGAAGACGGCGAATTAATTTGGGGGTTAATCAAGCCGGAGACACCGGCTGGGAGACGAGAGGACAGGTCCGTGAGCCAAGTGCCAGAAGCTCGAGGTCAAGGGGCCGAGGTAAAGCAAGCCGGGCGTGACCGGCCGTTCACCGCATCATAGAGCCACCGAGAGCGAGATAGCCGTCCAGAGAATGCCAAGTCCTAGGGAGTGCCGAGTGTCGAGTGCCGAGTGCCGAGTGCCGAGCGCCAAGTGCTGAGTGTCGAACTGACACAGGACATTTTCCGACAAACCGTGGTGGGCCCAATAATAACAACAAAATATAACGGAATAATATTATGGTATAGTAAGCCGGCTATCTAATTTTGTGTGTGTGCAATATATTATTACAGATATTTGTAGGCTTAATTACGTAGTTATCCATATCGTAGGAAATCTAGACATTGCTGTAAGAATAATCAGTGGGATTAAAAGGAGGTTCAGGTTATTGTTGTCAGCTTAATTAACAATAGAGACATTCCTAATTTACTTGATTTTTGATTTACGTAGAATACTTCATTTAATTAATATACTTTGATATTTGAATCTCGTCATTAATCCTTGGTAATTATTTAATCCGTACACATACATATATCTGCAAAGTTCATAACCGAGGTTCAGCTTCGTAAATGATTACTACTTCTCTGATTGTGGGTGTAATAAATCACTGTAAAGAATTCCGTAAATAAAATAATGTAATTTATCTTGTATTATAAAAGGACTTGTATTATAAAAGGACATTTTGTGATTTTCTTTCAGTGTCCTATACATATACGAGTGGTTTAGGGTCGACAAACGGGGATCACTTAAATTTTCTGGTAAAAATTAGTTCCGGGTGTGACATTAGGCTACATAATCACATAATTATCTCGCCACGACGACTTACCGATATCGACTTGATGACTTGTCGAGATGTATATCTCTCCACATCGACTTCCCAAAGTCGAGATGGCGACTTGTCGAATTGAATTATCTCGCCAAGTCGACTTAGCAAAGTTAACATGACAAAATGTCGAAATGTACTATTTCGCCAGGTCGACTGAATAAAGTCGAGATGACGACTTGTCAAGATGTATTATCTCGCAAAGTCGACTTCCCAAGGTCGACTTGACGACTACATAACGAAGTCAAGATGACGACTTGTAGTGACGTATTACCTCGCCAAGTCGACATTCCGAAACCGAGATGACTATTCATTTTGTCCACAGCTATTTTCTCACCAAGTCTACTAATTGAATACAAGATGACGACTTGGCGAGATATATTATCTCGCCAATAACTGATTAATTTTGAGATTTATTCAACATCTGGTGATAAACAATTATATTTTGTGGAGCAAGGTTAATGCCCCTAGGACCAAGGTTAATAGCACCTGGGAGTAAGGTTAATAGCACCCGAGGATGAGGTTGATGCCCTTGGGAACCTGGTTGAAGCCACTGGGAATGAGGTTGAAAATGACTTAAACACAAAAATAAACAAACTGGTCCAAAACTCGTTTTCCATCAATCATTTATTTATACTGAAAAGCTCTTATAAAATCAGATAAAGAAACATCTCTTGTAACAATAAGCATTTCCAAGTTGTTTGCAGAAATGTAAATATTGGGCCAAATTTAATCAAAAACGTAAGGCGATCCCCTTGCAATTTTTTTTTTCAATTTTGGTCAAATAAAGTTGCTTGAAAAATGCAGGAAAAATGCCCACGGGTTCCTAAAACACATTCCTCTATGTACACATTTACGGGACAGATGTGCCATTCAAAAAAAATAATGCATACACATTTGGAACAAAATCAGTAAAAATTATCATTTTTTTTTACATAAAATTGTAAGGCTAATCCCTTGCATTTTTTTAAACATTATTGGCCGAAAAATACAGTTCCTCAAAAATTGCGAAAAAGATGGCCAAGGGTCCCTAAACATCATCTTGAATAGTCTCTTGCAAAGCATACCTTCCAGAGCAATGTGGTGTTGAAAAAATGTTCTGACCTGAACAATTGCAAGGTTACTTGCAATTTTTTCCTTTGTAATTTGGTTGAAAAGTTTTGAAAATTGTAAGAAAAACATCGTGCGGACCTGCATACACATTCCTAAAATGTGTGGTAAGCAGGTCAGCAGAAATATGGTTATCAAAATATAATCAGCTACTACATGATAACATTGTATATAATAATTAAATGTATATATACAAGGAACTTAGGTGCTCATTAAATGAGGCTTAAAGGGAATATACAACATTTGCAAACATCGAAAAATAAAACTACCAAGTTTTTACAAAATACCTTACTAGGATGTTGGTAAATGACAGTCTCAAGCATCTTGTAAAATTATGGCACTTGGTGTGAGGTCATTTTCAAGAAAATTGTATTTTTGTAAACATTTCCAACGGTGGTCGGCCGACCAGCGTTGGAAAATCCTAACTATTTTTCAACTCCTGCTGCAAATTTACCATTTTTTCAGTCCAAATTTTGTTTGCTATTGGTTACATGTTCATGATGAACGGGTGCAGGCCAGCTAGACTGGTTCCCTTGCCTTACAATTTTCCATCATCTATAAATTGATCCATTTTATCTTTTGTGGAGTCAGGGAACCAGACTACTTGAACATTTTTTTTTTTTTTTTGGTTTTTCCAACCTTTTCGAACACCAAACTTAAAAAATGTCAGTGTAATAGTATTTGATCTATTATACTAACCTCTCAAATAGTTCATTTCTGAAAATTACAGCAAAAGCCAATGATGTACATTCCCTTTAAAGCCAGAGTCCATCATTTGCAGCTATCCAAAAAGTAACTGGCGTAAATATTGTTGAAAAACAAACTTGGTTGAAAGATATAAGGGGACTAAACTCCCCGTAAAATTATTCCTTCTGGCAAGCTTTCATTTTGAAGAAATCAACAAAAAAAAGGCCTTTCCAACGTGTTTCTTAAGAAGCACCGTTAAGTTATTCGGCGAAGCGCGCGCAAGCATTGGTACGACGCGACATCGCGTAGCTGCAAACGGCTCAGTGTGAACCTGTCTCAGACACTGAATTCAGGCCCAGTTCAAAACATGATTCAGCAACTATAGATTTAAAATTGAGATCCTAGAATGTTGTTTTTCTCGAAATATACAGCTGAAGCTGAGCTGAAACTTCATCAGGTTAGTTGTTCAGCTTTTTTCTTTCTTTTTTTAGATCTTGAGCACTTTTGTTGCTTCAAACGAACTAAATGCACACATTAAAAAATGACGGATTATATCTTTAAAATAAGTGCTCATAAAATACGCACTTTTGAAGTGGACATTATCAACGTATTACTGAACAGTCCAGTCAAACTGAAAGTTTATATGCTGAAGAGAAATTTCATTAGAAACTTCTTTAATATTCAAAATGCAAAGTTGGAAACCACGGATAAAGCAGCCCACATTTTAATCAGGAAGCAATTACTTACAAAAGCATTCATGTTATTATGCATAGAAAATGACAAAATATGAGGATAACACACCATCCATTAAAAACATCCAGCAAGTAATCTAGACCTTGTTTTCAATGCATTGATATAAAATGTGTTAATATGCAAACAATTGTAGAATTAGGAACAGTGAATATATTTCTTATACAAACTTTACATAGTTATGTGATGAATTTAAAGATAATAGTATAGTCAATATTAAAGTTTGGTGGTCCAAACTTCAGCTTCTTTTATTCACTTTTTTATATTTACATGATAACTGTGGAATAAAAATGCACCATTTCAAATCATTTTGAAATGTTATTGGTCTAATGAATGTAAACTCAGCTATTTGGATGAATATATATACATTCTAACATCAGATGCCAAAGTTAGCTTGTGACCTCAGTCTAGCGGTAGATCATTGGATTGTAAGCAACACGACCCACTGTCCCATCATCATCCTGTGTGAATCAAAAACACGATCAAGGTATATCAAGAAATATATCGCTTCAATTAAGATTTGAAGGTTTGCACAGAGTTTGTGTGGTTGCAGCTCTGAGAAGAACTTGTGGAAATCAACGTTTGGAGCCGATCAGAAATGAGAATAAACGTTTGGAGCAGTTCAGAAATGAGAATAAACGTGGAGATGTGACAGCTGTGACTCAATTAGACCTAGCTGAGGGGGGGGGGGTAGAAGCTCAACGTTTGGAGCAGATCAGAAATGAAAATAAACGTGGATGTGTGACAGCTGTGACTCAAGAGACCAAGCTGGGGGGGGGGTGGAAGCTCAACGCTTGGAGCAGATCAGAAATGGGAATAAACGTGGAGGTGTGACAGCTGTGACTCAAGAGGCCAAGCTGGGGGGGGGGGGGTGGAAGCATAACGCTTGGAGCAGATCAGAAATGAAAATAAACGTAAAGGTGTGACAGCTGCGACTCAAGAGACCTAGCTGAGGGGGGGTGTGGAAGCTCAACGCTTGGAGCAGTTCAGAAATGGGAATAAACGTGGAGGTGTGACGGCTGTGACTCAAGAGACCAAGCTGGGGGGGGGGGGGTGGAAGCTCAACGCTTGAAGCAGATCAGAAATGGGAATAAACGTGGAGGTGTGACAGCTGTGACTCAAGAGACCTAGCTGAGGGGGGGGGGGGTAAAAGCTCAACGTTTGGAGCTGATCAGAAATGGGAATAAATTTGGAGGTGTGACAGCTGTGACTCAAGAGACCTAGCTGAGGGGGGGGGGGGGGTGGAAGCTCAACGCTTGAAGCAGATCAGAAATGGGAATAAACGTGAAGGTGTGACAGCTGTGACTCAAGAGACCTAGCTGAGGGGGGGGGTGGAAACTCAACGTTTGGAGCTGATCAGAAATGGGAATAAACGTGGAGGTGTGACAGCTGTGACTCAAGAAACCTAGCTGAGGGGGGGGGGTGGAAACTCAACGTTTGGAGCTGATCAGAAATGGGAATAAACGTGGAGGTGTGACAGCTGTGACTCAAGAGACCTAGCTGAGGGGGGGGGGGGTGGAAGCTCAACGCTTGAAGCAGATCAGAAATGGGAATAAACGTGGAGGTGTGACGGCTGTGACTCAAGAGACCTAGCTGAGGGGGGGGGGTGGAAGCTCAACGCTTGGAGCAGATCAGAAATGGGAATAAACGTGGAGGTGTGACAGCTGTGACTCAAGAGACCTAGCTGAGGGGGGGGGGTGGAAGCTCAACGCTTGGAGCAGATCAGAAATGGGAATAAACGTGGAGGTGTGACAGCTGTGACTCAAGAGACCAAGCTGAGGGGGGGGGTGGAAACTCAACGTTTGGAGCTGATCAGAAATGGGAATAAACGTGGAGGTGTGACAGCTGTGACTCAAGAGACCTAGCTGAGGGGGGGGTGGAAACTCAACGTTTGGAGCTGATCAGAAATGGGAATAAACGTGGAGGTGTGACGGCTGTGACTCAAGAGACCTAGCTGAGGGGGGGGGGGTGGAAGCTCAACGCTTGAAGCTGATCAGAAATGGGAATAAACCTGGAGGTGTGACAGCTGTGACTCAATTAGACCTAGCTGGGGGTAGAAGCTCAACGTTTGGAGCAGATCAGAAATGAGAATAAACGTGGAGGTGTGACGGCTGTGACTCACGAGACCTAGCTGGGGGTGGGGGGGGGGGGGGGGTAGGGGATGCTAGGTTATAAATGAGGCATGTCAGTGTAGTGGATAGAAGCAGACAAGGAGAACACTGATATTATTTTATTTTATCTGTCACCTGCATACTGTCTGAAATTTTGAGTTGCCCCTAGTCCTTTCAGAAGCTCACATATACAAGAGAGATTTGTTATATTTGTTAAACTTACTCTTATTGCCCTCTTCGCCGTGGAAATCGTTAGATCTTATCTTATATGATTTATATCTGTGTATTTCTACATCGATAATATCTTCATATCGACTCACCCTCGGATCATCAAAATGTTGGTCATCCTGATCGAATTCCTCCGTTCCGGTCACGATGTACGGTCTGATGAAATCAGGTCTGCTTGACAAACCCTGACAACAACAAAAAAAGAACAAAATTCATGCATTATTTTTTCCCCGAGAGTAAATAAGTGGTCGGACTCTATCTCATGAGTTGTACCTATCACAAGTCAGACAAGAGTTAAAGGGAATGACAAATAACAAAGAAATGTGACTTAACTTGGGACTGGAGGACTTCTGATTGACTTGTGCACATATTTAAAGGAAGCGTGATCTTGTTACGTCTTAACGTCTTAACGAATAACCAATGAAAACTCTCACCTCCAATTTGCCACTCGTGAACAAAAAAACCCGAACATGCCCTGGATGGCACATGCACAACAACGTACAAGTTGAAGTAAGAAATCCACTATGGGTTTTGAATATACATGTAGCACAATTCCTTGAAGAACTTTCTCAGTACTCTGTCTTGTACTTGATTCATTCAAAGGTCCTCACAAGTCCATCAAAAGTCAATCACAAGCCATGAGTCTCCAGTCAAGTCACAAACTATTTGGGATGGACTTGTGATGGCCTTGTTATTGACTTTGATGGACTTGTGATGGACTTGTGATGGACTTGTGATGGACTTGTGATGGTCTTGTGATAGACTTGTGAGGGTGTTGTGATGGACTTGCGATGGACTTGCGATGGAATTGTGATGGTCTTGTGATTGACTTGTGATGATCTTGTGATGGTCTTGTGAAGGTCTCGTGAAGGACTTGTGATGGTCTTGTGATGGTCTTGTGATGGACTTGTGAAGGACTTGTGATGGACTTGGGATGGACTGGCGATGGACTTGTGATGGTCTTGTGATGGACTTGTTATGGTTTTGTGATGGACTTGTGATGGACTTATACATGTGATGGTCTTGTGATGGTCTCAACACAACTGTGCCAGTACTGTAATCTTACCTGCTGTAAGTACGATGAACGACTCATAACATTCATCAGGCGATCCATTTGAATCTCCTCATCTCGAATTGCTGATGTATCATGGCCGTTATCTTGGTAATAACTCTGATCGGTGTATTCAGACAGACCATGATTGATCCTCGGATTGTCAGGTTTTTGCCGGCCGTGAGTAGATTCGATAATATTACGACGTCGTATCAGAAGACAGAGGCACAGAGGTATCACTACTACTGTCAGGAAGAGAACAACGCATGCAACAATGATGATGACGATTACTTCAGTTGATAGGCCACCTGGAATAAAATAAAGATTGAATTACACTAAGGCCAAAAAAAGGCTTCGGTTTTTGGTATGGAGCTTGCCCCAAAGTGGTGCGGCGACGCAGGTTTTTTTCTCCCTACTTTTGTCTTCTTCAAATGTCGGCTGATAATGCAGATGACGCTTCGTTCCCCTTAATTTTGTCTCTCAAAAATATCATTCAGAGTGGAGCTTGAGGTGACTTTAGTAAGGCCAAGGCTTGAAAATTCTGCACCCACTTACGATCTCGACCGACACGAACATTCTTCCCAAAGACTAATGTGACTGTAGCAGAGTGATTGGGACATGGCCTAAGAGTCTGGAGTCTAAGACTGAGTCTGAATTACTTGGCTATGGCTTGCAATTACACATGCGTCTATGATAGCAGCCATAGCCATTTCCTAGAGTCGCCTGGGTGACTGTCAGCCCTAACCATGTAATTCAGAAGCAGCCTGAGGCGATTTTCACCTGGTGACTCTGTTGTCGCTGTTGGAACATCAGTGGGGACTGGAATGACTGTTTCGCAGCGTTCGCCGGTGAATGAAGACCCACAACTAAATTATGAAAACAACAAATATCATTGGTTAAGATGAGCACATAAACTTTACAACAGATGGGACAGGAGTAGATTTCTTATATTACTCTAAATATCAGAAGATCAAACATCCAACATTGAAACAAAGACTTTTCACCGCTGTTGCTGATTAAACTTACAATGAATTTAATTACCACATTCAATCATATTTCAAACTGGTTGTTCAGGGTAGTAGGGCTCAATCACCTTTGACACAGGTTGATTAAGCACCTGTATTGCTTGATAAGTCATGATCATTGTTGATTACCTGCAGGTATAGGTGAACATAGACACGTAGTACCCTGACTTCATGCACATTGCACCATTCTGACAATAGTCTGGCGGACAATCTGTTACTTCTGAAAATATTCAGAAAATATTTCGTCTGAGAAAGTTGATCATCAGCTGCTTACTAAAAGGCTTATGTAATGAAGAATCCTTCCCTTGTACGAAGACAATTTTCTTCTGATGGTTTTAGGTTTGTCCAAAATTCACACACACACAAAACAAACAAACAAAACCCCCGACTTTAGTGGTACTTTGCCAGGCATAAATGAGTAGTAAATTGACTGATTGTCATCAAATATTTCTTAACTTATTGGTGCTCAAGACTCTCTTATATTAAACCAATAGAAATGAAACCTTACCATTGACTCGAAGTGCTAGTGGATCAGTGGTTATTGCTACGTCTCCATCGGTCAACGGTCTGTTTTCTAACAAGACTCTGTGTACATCAGTTGTTGATGGCGCAGCTGGGTACCGTAATACCATGGTAGCAACAACACTTCCGTTTTGGATTGAAACACAGTCTGCGGATATCACATCATTGGTTACTTGGTCCTCTCGCAATCGCCTTTCAACCTGATTGAAATGGCATGAATGACAAGCCCCAAGTTATTAAATTCATCATGTGAACTTTGTCCAGGGTTATAACTGAGTCAAAGTCATGTGTAGGAATGAACAATGACAAAATTGTAGCTGAATTGAATTGTCTGTGACGTAACTTGGGACAGGAGGACTAGTTATCGATTCAATTCAACTCTGTGAATGATTATGTTCTTTATTGTATACTGTCCGACCCATTGAAAACAGCAACTTACCAGTCGTTTATAAAGGGCTGCTTTGGCTCTGAATGCAGAAGACCACGGATTGATGTACACTGACCGGTATGTCTCTGTCAACAATGTTATCACCACAGTAAGAGCAAACCTTCGTCTGTCTGAAAAATAAAGTACAACATGGTTAGATAACGGAGAATCAGGTTGTGTTGTAGTCGAGGAACTTGCGACAGGTCACAAGTATCTTCACATCAGGGAAAAACAATAACAAAGGAACGTCCTTGTCACAGTCCATTTGAATCAGCTTGTGACTTGACTGGATGACTTGTGTTCTCACTTTTGACAGACTTGTGGTGACTTAGCTAAATCAATGGGAATGATCCAACAGTTGACTTTAAAAAACCTTCATCAATGAGATGTTAAAAAAATTAGTTTAAAACTAGATTTTTTTAAAGACAGCCAGACGTTGAGTTCAGTGTGTTTTACTTCACAAGCTTGCCCTTACTTTCGCATGCGGCTCCTTCCATGAAATATGCATCGTATGTGCGACACTCGCATGTGAACGCAGTATTTGATGGGACACAGTAATGCCCTGTTGTATTATCCGAGCACCGGTCACTGGTCAAACACACATTCGAATCTAAAAAAAGGAATGCGAAACATGTTATCTAAAGAACAATCAAGCTCTCATCTGTGTCCTTGCTTTTAAATTTAGTAATATTTACGCTGTGCTGAAACTACAGCAGGTTATCTGTCTGCCAATAATTATCTAGGGATATTGGATTATTTTGACAGATATATTAATCGGACCCCTTTTACTTTGACTTTGTAATTACTTACTGTTGAGTACCATGGTATAAAACAGTGGATGTGGTATTTCCTCCCAATCAAACACCTGGTAATATACAAAATTTGCTTTTGCTGCCTTTTAAGAAATGGACAACTTGGGGCAATTTTTTGGTCCAAAAAGCTTTTTTTTTGGGGGGGGGGACAATTTTGACGTTGGTGGCGCCACTTACACCCCTATTATACTATTCAAAAATAGGCCACATACATATCACCAAGGTCAAATTGTCAGTCAAAAAAGTGCCCCCCCCCCAAAAAAAAAAAACCACTGGGTGCGCCACTGAATTGGGGATTAGCATTTTATAGCAAATATCGTTTCACTGATTTTTAAAGTTTGTGTTCATGGATGCTGGAAAGAACAACAACAAAGTTCTGGTAGTGTGGTTACCTGCTTCCCTGACCTAATGCCTCAGACGAAATGGAACAATTTACAGAGGTCAAGGGATTGTCAGGTCAGGGAACCAGAGTAGCTGGCAATGTGCCCATTCAAGTATGCCGATTGCAAACAAAACGGAGATTAATTGAATTCGGTCAACTGGGGCCAGTATTTGAATTAATATTTTTCCAATGATGGTATGGTCGAACCATTGTTGGAATATGATACAAAAATCTTGAAAACTACAGGCACACTGATTTCACAGGATGCTAGAGACTATTATTCGCTTACAGTTAAGTCAGGTATTTGATAATAATTTGTCAGTTTTTATTCTAATTCATGATTGCAAATGGTGTACATTGTCTTTAAACATGCAAAATACAACATAAGTCTTTTACTGATGTTCGTATGAACTAAATAAATGTAAAATAGCACCAGTTGTAATAAATTCACAAAATCCATCTAAACTAATTTCATTTGACAGTTGTACAAAAACCCATAATTACCTTGACACAGATCCCCGCTGTGAGTCAGAGGACAAACACACTCACAATACTCTTCGTCTAAAGTGCCTCCGTTCAGACAGCTAGCTGTTGTCAGTGGACATTCTAACAAACATACAAATCAATGATCTTAATTGAAATCTTACTTAAAGAAATACGTGTAAGTCACTGAGTGGAGTTTTTGAAGGGAGTGTTTCCAATTGAACAAATATTCCTTTCACTTTTTGACTTTCAATTTGGAGCATACATACAGTGTTCTCAAGGTACTCCCAGCTTCAACAATGTGTACGTTATAGACTTACAATAGAATAACTCTTGTACAGCGCATTGGGACCTTGTGTGAAGTGCGCATTGTAAGCACGGTTTATTATTATTATGCTTATTATTATTAAAAATATATGTTCAGACTGGGTTTCACGTTGTGTGCTTTGCGCCCCTTGGGTGTAACAAAATCATATCTTACATCACAGTAGTCAGCAATTCTTAAATGAAAATTTGATTTGGGGAGAATGCAAAATCAATCAGGCGGCAACTCAAGGTTTACCTGAAGGGTTTCTTGGTCATTGGCACAACTCGATTTCTTAATGCCTACCTGTGCAATTGTTTCCAGTCCATGATGAGCTGCACCTGCACTGACAAGAATCTGGATCTCTGGTTGCACCGTTCCCACAAGTTATCGAGCACTCTGCAAAACAAAAAATTGAGCTGAGTAATTTCAGATATGTATATATCGCCATGGTGATCTGTCTGGAAGAGATAAAATTCAACATTAGGTAAAAACTGCCTAATAAACTTAGTGAAATGCTGAACACGATGACAGGTGGTTCATCTCGTACCCCCACCATCAGGGCTACGATTTGGGGTAAATTTACAAAAGAAATCCACAAGAAAATATTTGGCAGAGGGTTTAGATGCCATCGAAGCCCCAGATCAACTCAGGGTCTACGGTATACATTATTTTCCTTAAAAAGGCACTCCTAAACAATGTCCTTTATTTTTTTTATATAAAAAAAACAATTTGAAAAAAAAAGAAATAAGAATTCTCACTTAGGTTTTACTTAATTCAGAAATTATTTTCATGTAGGTTTTTTTTTAATTCAGAATTCCTAAAATCTACAGAATCTGGATAAATCTCACTCCTGCTCATTCACCAATCTCTGATGACCTGTAACTGCTATCAAATGATTACTTACTGATTGTAGTCTTCGGGATTTCTAGAACATCAAAGTATTGATATAACTGGTTTTTGGCATACCTGTGCAAGTATCTCCAGTCCATGGTGGGCTGCACACACACTGGCAAGTAGCTGGATCTGTAGTTCCTCCATTTATGCAAGTTAACGAACACTCTAGACAAGACAATCAAAATGAATGTTGTTGAGATATGCATGGCACAACAATTAATTCTCCCTGAAGCAGTTGACAATCAACTCTTTGAAGAAGCTGGGTACTCCCAGCTTCAACAGTCCGTGTGTTACAGACTTATGCAATCGGACTCGGCTTCGCCTCAGGTGCTATGTGCCCCTCGTGTGTCAAAAAGCCACATCCCACTGTCAACAATTGTTAAATGATTATTATTAGGCCAAAAAAAAAAAAAGTCGGTCTCTGGTCAGCGCGCGCGTCGATTTTAATCATGCGCGTCGATCTTTTAAAAAAATTTCCAAAAATGTTCCTCGGTAGCTCAAACAGCGCCCTCTATTTCCGCACCTCCTCAAGTTTGTTTACCAAAGAGCACCAAGGAATGGCAAATTGCACCAAGGCAAATGATCGAAAGCACCAAGGCAAATTATGGAGGACACCAATGTACATGAGGACACCAAAAAAGCAAAATAGTACCCCACCTTGTTCCAAGCTTGAAGAAAAAAGAAAAAAAAGCCGCGTGGCCGCGTCAATTCCGGAACTTTGGTCTGACCAGAGACCGATTTTTTTTTTTTTTTGGCCTTAGTGGAGAAGGCGAAATCAATCAGGCGGCAACTCAAGGTTTACCTGGAGGTTTTACAGGTCTTCCATGTCATCACAGCATTGACACAACTCGTTTCTTAATGCCTACCTGTGCAAGTATCTCCAGCCCATGGTGAGCTGCACATGCACTGACAAGAATCTGGATCTCTGGTGGCACCGTTTATACAAGTTGAAGAACACTCTGATAAAAAAAAACCCAACAAATTGAGATAAATACTGTAAGATATGTGTGGCACTGCGATGAACTGTTTGGAAGAGGTTTGAATTCAATTAGGGCTGTGTTCGAGTAGCTCACTCGGATCAACTCGGGTAAAAGCAGACGGATTAGCCACGAAAGCTGTGCCAATCGAAGGTGGGACATCATGATTCCCACGTGATGTCCATAGCCTCGATCGTAGCCATTGACACACGCCCTTTTGGGGCTGAGTCTTACCATTCCCTCCCCCATGGCCTTACTGTTAGATTTACTACCTCTCTGTCAATCGCAAAAAGTCACAAAGTCGGGCTGGAATTAGCCTACCTGTGCAAGTATCTCCAGTCCATGGTGGGCTGCACACACACTGGCAAGTAGCTGGATCTCTAGTTCCGCCATTCATACATGTTAACGAACACTCTAGACAACACAATCAAAATGCACGTTGTTGAGATATGCATGGCACAACAATCATCTCTCTGAAGAAGTTTGAAGTATGAATCCAATATTGACTTTTTGCTTGCGTTGGTGGGATGCAAAACATAACGACAGTTATTAATTTCAATTTAATTGCACCAACCACACACGTTGGCTTTTGGGTATTCCTGTCAAATTTAAGGTTACGCTTTGTTAACAAACTTAAGACTGTAACTTCATTTATTGAAAAATAAAGCTATTGCAATACTAACCGTCCTACAGAAATTAATCAAAATCTGCACCTCAAACTGCTTCCTTATTCCTTGGGGATTACCATGGCTATATGAAAACCACATCTGTGCCACATTCACAGAAACTTTGCACGACAATTCCCTAAAATTATCTCCCATTCATTTCAACTGTAAAGTTCCAGCATCCATACCAATTTTGGACAAAACTTTCTGCATAATAATAAACCCCATTTTAAACAATGTAAAACTCAAAATGCAGGGACCAACAAAATGTTTAAAAATAAAAAAACCGATGAAGATGAATATCAACTTGTTGAAAATGAGACAAATATTCTTACCGTTTTCACAGTTTTCGCCCATGAATCCGTCACCACACATACACGTATAGCCTCTTGCATTTACAAACTCATTGACACATGTTGCTGCATTCATGCAGTCATTGCTAAGCTCACAGGGAACTACAAGGAAGACAAATTAGAAAAAAAATATGCAAGACATACTTCAAACAAGCCTAATTTTCCTGCTACATGTATGTTCATAGAGATATTTGATAAATGCATCTTCATTGTGCAACCTCATGCCTTTGTAACTTTTGTATTACCTCTTTAATCAAAATCTGTATAAAACAGTATTACAGAATGCCTCTTAACCACAAAGATGTTATAATAACATTTAGAGTGTTACCAAAAGTTAGACATCCACACAATTGCAGGTTTGTGGCTTGCCTGGTGGAAGGGGAGGGTCAATTTTACCATTAAGTGGTCTTTTCATGTCCAAGAAACAGTTGATTATGCATGGAAATACACATTTGGGTAAATTAAACACGAATGTCAATCGCAAGGGGGGGGGGGGTCGTCCAACCCCCTGACCATCCCCCGTCAACTGGTCAGAGTCAATATATGTACCACTGGGACACAGACAATCTCTTGCTCGTCCAAATTTCCACTATTGAAGATTACACTGACCTTCAATGATCAGTACCATATTAAAATGTCTTGAATTAAAAGCTAGCTACAAGTTTTGATCAACTGGCCTTGCTCAGCCAGTGAAGGTTTTGCACAGCTGTCTACATTATACTGTTGATTTGAGGTACGTTACCTATCATTTGACACTGAGGTCCAGAGTAACCCAGAGCACATTCACACATATAGCCCGTCATTGTAGTTGAAACGACACGACATGTTCCGTCGTTCATACAGGGGTTGTTGCCACATGGTGCTGTAGGACAAACACAGAACGATATGGAAATGGGTTGAACTAGTATAAATGATTTAAAATGAAAAAAGAATAGCAGGATATCAGTTTGCAGTTCAAAAAATATTTTATTTCTTATCATTCTTTCCTGTAATAAAACCAAAGATTTTCCAAAAACTGTACAAGTGCTACATCTTGGAAGCTGTATGAAGCGTCAAGGGAGAAAATGATGCAGAATGTACAGAGGAGGGAGGAAAACCCTTGAAGCATATTCCCAGGGAAAGCCCTCGGAATCAGGTTAAATCCAATCAATCACCCAATCATTCCAACTGCAGCCTGGACGGGATGTGAGCCCAGACCATAAGGGTGAAAAGCAATGTATCCCTGCGCCAACCCAACTGTGGAGGGCTGTGGTCCAATGGTTACGGTGTTCGACTCACGTGCCGTGGTACGTGAGTTCGAACACTGATGGGGAACATGATGCTCGTGTTCTTGAGCAAGGCACTTTACTACAATTGCCTCTCTCTACCCAGGAGTATAAATGGGTACCTGTAATGGTAGAAACCAGAATGCGCTGATCTCAAGCTGCTGCAAAAACTGGTTTCATGGCCGGATGAACATGGGCAATAATTGTGAAGTCTTTTGAGCCCTTTGCAATTTGTATAAAGCGTTATCTAAGCACTACATCAGTATTATTATTAACTCCTTAACATGAATGATACGAAAAAGAAATGTTCAGACCATTGAGTATTGAAGTACAGTCTTTATTAATGTGGGTCTAGAAATTGGATGGCTTTATGTCAAGTTTGTCTATTTTCAGTTTCTGTACACCACTCCTGCCTGTTTTAGAAATGGCCCCTAAAGGCCTGTTAACACTACACGCAGAAGCAAAAAGTGAAGCGAATTTCAAGATGTCAACAATTAGATTTTCATTGTGGGTTTGTCGTTACCTTAATGAATTCGCTTTGCACTGAAAGTCATGTTAAGTGTGAACCAGCCTTCAGAAGGAATGATTTTGGCTTTAACAGCCATTTTATTACTGACTATTTACAATTCTTACCAATTTCACAGTTTTTTCCACTATAGCCTGGCAGACAGGTGCATGTATATCCCTCGGGTAATACCGAGTTGTCATCAGCACAAGTTCCACCGTTGGTACATGGTGAGCTGTTACATTCTGAAAGCAGTACACATTCAATCAATTCATTAATAATCAAAGAGAGTACATTACATATACACAGTGTCTACCGGTGTAATGTACAATTGGATTCATCAAAACCTGCCTACCTAATAATCCGTTCAGTGATGTGGACTTCATTACACAGTAATCATTCAATCTGGACATATCTTGAATGTATTTTGAACATGTATATACTTCATTTATATACTTCAAGTGTAGGAATTGCATTCGGCATATAGGACAGCGTGCCCTTACTTTAGCTCTCAAAAGCATACAACACAGTACAATCTACATTTTCTGCAGCATTTTATTCTTCTATTCTTATTTTGTCATAATTACAGGTCTCTCGCAAATGACGTAATTTCATACAGACCAACCACTTGTATCGGCATTTTGAGCGTCAACTTGCATAACGCGCAACGGCTGCGTCGTATTTCGAACACATTTTGAGCAACAAGCGCGGGTGTTTGGAACATTCTCAACACTTCGCAATGCGTGCTTGATTGCGAAAAATACACAGTTGCAGTTCTTTTACAGAGATGGCCGTCTTTTAGAGAGACCTGTTAGGAAACACGGTCCTTTCCTACTTACTTGGATCCCCGATGATGAATGTTGAGCCGACCAGCCTATGGTCTGGAGCCAACTGACCTCCACTGCTCCCTGTCAACTGACTCAGGAAGGGCTGGATGATGGTCTGCTCTGGCTGAGACATGTTGAGATTGATGACCAATCTCAACAAGGCCGTGGAGTCAGTGAGGAGTGATATCTCAGAGATGACGACATCGCCCAAGTTATCAGACAAATCCGAGGACCGGAAAGCAGCTTCAATCTTAACATGGAAATCAAATTAGCAAAATATGACGATTGTTAAAAAAAGTGTGTGAATGAAATGGAGCTCTCTAGATGTCAGTGACATTCTTGTGAGATTCTGTTTAATACCTTGTAAAAATGTAAGGCTTAATTGGGCAAGTCTCTGCATAGGGTGGGCAAGTTGGAGGATGCATCAATTCAATGCTAGAGTGTTCATGGCTTGTCTGAGAATTGCTTTGGTTATAATGAAGAATCATAACAACTGACTTAAGATGAAAACATTGACAATCCTACAATCCAACTGCAGTCATTTGAAGTGTTAAACATATTAATTGTATTTTTTTTTTACATGTTACAGCATAGCATTGACCAACACTTATTATCTGAAAAAAATCCATAAAATCTTTCTTATCTAAATTACCATTTCATAAAAGATAAAGATTGTCCCCTACCAAAGATCAGAAATACCAATTAAAACTAACAAGCAAAACACGATGATTACAAGCAGATACACAGGAGCATCACTGAAAAGGAAGAGACAATTTGAAGTGGACAGAAATGTTTGTCTCAACAGTGAAATGTTCCATCCACCCTGCATACATACCGCATCTTTTAACTCTGTTCTGTATTTCAAGTAGTTGGTGACAAGATTAAAGCCGTTCCCACCAACCAAATCCCCACTGATGATATTAAACACAGCCGACGCATTGTATGAGACACCACCTGCCAAAATGATAATAACTTTTCAACATTATTCACTTTGATGGACACAAAGATTCTCTGTAAGGACACGAGAACATATGAACCAAAATTGACGACGTTATGTTTCATGTTTATTAACATATCAATGTTATACTTGAGATGGCAGTGAGACTTACTAAGACATTCTGAGTTTTGCAGATAGAATCCCATTCTACATGGACAGTCATAGCTGCCGTGTAGATTGACACACTCCGTATTGGCTCTTGACACACATGCAGCCGGATCCTCACATTCATTCATATCTACAAAAACACCACACAGATATCAAGCAACACATGTACATAAAAACATCTATTTCAATTAAGAAAAGATGAAGACTTTCTTATTGTTTTCTACGGACTGTTAAATGTACATTATCGGAAAAGAGTGTATCTTGGTCTAATCCCAAAACTACGAGATAGTGGTTGGCAGTTAAATCTGACTGATTCTGGGGTATGGCCAAATAATTTAAAGGTTCTTGTAGCCTACTGTCCTCAGCTGTCCCAAGCTCAGAATATATGATATATGATTTGATTGATTCATCGGGAAAGTAATACAGTGTTATACGATGTGGAACAATGTAATGCAGTGTCATACAATATAATACACTGTAATACAATGTAATGTAATGTAATACAATGTAATACAAAAATATAATGTAATACGATTTAATGTAATGTAATACAATGTAATGCAATGTAATCCCATGTATACAATGTACAATGTAGTACAAGTATTATTGGTTAAATAACATCAATGTAATTGATATGTTTGGTTGTCTTACCGATACACTGATTCATGTCATCCTTTACAAATCCAAGCAGACAATTGCATATGTAACTACCATCATCAGTGTTGTTGCATTGACTCACTGATGGATCACATGAATCCAGATTCAGAGAACACTCATCGATGTCTGGAAATTAAAGGAATCCACTAGAATTAGTGACCAATTTAAGAGTGGGAATATATTTAACTAGAAGAAAAACTAATCCACTTTTTGTGATCCAGGCTAAAGAAAACAACTGGAACATCGTCAAATTTGTCTTGTAAATGTACATGCACTCAATTTTACAAAGTCAAGAATAAAGGAGATAATTCAACAGACAAAAAAAAAGGTGAGAACTACAAAAGATGAGAAACAGTGTTGTGATTTACCGTCACATTGACGTCCTGGTAGCATTCCTGGAGCAGACACGTATCCATTCATGCAGGTACATGTATAACTACCATCGTTGTTGACACAGTGAGCTCTGCCTGAAGCACAGTCATGGCTTTCCGTCATGCATTCGTCAACATCTAAATGCGAGCAAAAATGAATTCAAACAGAAGTGTAACTTTTGGTTGTGAAGGCATATATTACTACTGAAGATAGGCCCGTACAAATTTGCTATTTATCGAAATTTTTCAGGATGAGATATAAAACACTTTAAAATCCACTTTTTAAGAATTCTTACATTATTGTACCTCTAGTTTTTGAATACTTGTAATACTTTGCGTAGAAATGTTTTGTAATGAATGAACATGGTAATACTAGTGAAGAGTTACAGAAAACCACTTAATTTGCTATAATACGATCTGCTAAGGCAAGTTCATACTCAATACAAATGTGAACGCAAATTTGTGTGGTCACTGCAAGTATTCGCGCTGCGACATCACAAATATTGAGCACATTTCAACTCCAGTGGAGTTTGCAGAGAATGGTTCATGACGTCAATGTTTTTTTTTTTGGCATTCGCATTTGAGTGAAGTATGAACTGGCCGTTTAAAGATGTGTTTGTCTGTCTGTTGGTCGGTCTCTCAGGCTGTTTATTCAACTGTTCCCATATATGTTGGCAATTCTCTCTTCAATCTTTTCAGTGGTTCCGATGTGTTGTCATTGTTTCAATGCATTGTGATATATGTAAGGCATACATTACGATCATTCTTTCATCTAATATGATGTCTTCAATGTAGAGTAGACTATATTTTCTCATTGGTGCATTGGTCAAAATTTAAAGACGGGTGTCAATGAAACAACTGATCAAGCTTTAGCACTGTTAATGCTGTACATTATGAGGAAACACAATATTCTGGATCTGGATTTAATTCAAAAGTTGCAAGTCATGACACAATCCCGAAATCAGCATTCAGGACATGAATCTCATTCAGTCGATTGCTGATGTTGCACACTGAATTTTTGGATAGATGCAAATGGTTTACTCATTTTTTTTTTTTATAATGGAAGCGTATATTTTTGAAGTTGCAAACTTGAAAACCTATGATAGAGGTAAGCAACTAACCTTCACAGTATGTTCCGTTGCCTTGGTAACCAGAGTCACAATTACACTGGTAACTCCCTTCGGTGTCGCTACACGTTGCTAAGGAGTGACACATATCTGGGTCCTCCAAACATTCATCGATGTTCATACACAAGACACGTCCATCGCCATGGAAACCAGTGTTACAATGACAGGTGTAACTACCAGCGTTGTCCAGGCATGTACTGTTGGCTACACATAAGTGTCCACTCTGACACTCGTCAATATCTGTAACAATAACAAATAAACATGTAATCACTCTCAAGGGATAATTGTAAACTCATTTGTGGTGAAACACGTCTTGCAAGGGGAGATTCCCAATTCACCAAAGGACTGTAAGATTGGTAATAATGCTAGACTACTGCTTTAATGGAGAGATGGTTCCAAAAATGATGAGTCTCTTTTTGCCAGGTGAAGTAAATAAACACTCTCTGAAAGTACAACATGCAAAGTCTGTATTGTCATTTAAATAGTTACTTTCCATTCATTTTTTCAGATCTTTGTTTTATTTTACGCCTTTTCGGTGTTTTACTGGACTTCGAGAAGAAAGCAGATGTGCACCATAAATACAAGATCAGAAAGGAAAATCTAGTTCAGGGCTAAGGGCCATCAGAATTTTGCTGTGTGAAACAGTTTTACTATTGACCGCTGAGTGTTCTATCTATACCTACTTTGACAGTGTGTCCCATTGCCTTCATATCCTGATTTGCAACGACAGTCATATGTGCCATGGTTGTTGTAGCACTTTGCGGTAGCAATACAAACAGGGTACAATGGATCATCCACAGGAAGTGTACACTCATCAATATCTGAGGACAAATGTCAACCAAATCAAGAAAGCGAATGATGCGTTGAGTGTCTTTTCCAGTCTGCTAGGATTACAACGTTTCAGGGCTTAATTAGCCAATCTTGAATAAAATTCTCAACTTTGTAACGGTATAATAAGTGTAGAAAGGGAGTTTGTTGTTTAATAAAAAGTAACAAATGACAGCTTAATTTAACTGGTGATTTTGGTTGCATAGAAATGAAATCTATATGAATTACCAAACAAACCCACTCAGAAAAAAACCCAGAATAAGTTTTGATTCAAACTGAAAAGACTACTCGTAAAGAAATGGTAGATTACCTAGACAATCCCGCTGGTCATTGCCTTGCCTAAAGCCTTCTGAACACAAACACTCAAAACCACCGGCCGTGTTGTTACAGGTTGAGGAGGGGCCACAATAACTCTCAGTAGCATTACACTCGTTAATATCTGAAATAACAAAACAAAAACAAACAATTTTTTTTTAAACACAAATTTAAGAAATGAAATATTCTAAAAATACAAATAATTTGCAAATGATGAAGGTTTCACTCTGTCATGATGAGAATCTCAAATGGTAATGTAAAGAACTCTTTGAAGCATGCATTATCCATGACAAGGTGACATTCTGCAAGTATAAACCTATAGCTGTAATGTACCCGAAGGCCCTGTGATGTATTCATTCTCACCTTCACACACCATTGGATCAGACGCGTTTTGGTAACCACGGTAACAAAGGCACCTCTCTATATCTGCACCATTCACGTAACAGTCTCCATTCACACATATAGAATTCTCAGAACAGTTGGTATTAGCTGTGAGGAAAAAGCAACAAGAAAAAAATGAGAGAAAATCACGCCTATAAAGGTCAAAGGATGTGTGTGTGGACGTACCTCACATACACCCCCAGGACATACGGACAGATGGAGAACAGATTCTTTGTTTTCTTTGGGAGTTAATCTTTTGTTGAAAACAGTTCTCAATCATGAGTTAGTGTGCTTTATGGGAGAGTGTATGGGGACAGAGCGAAAGACAATGCCTTGTCTTCGAGAGTTAAAGTACAGCTGTTTGGGCGTGTTTATGGTGTAAATCGAGGACACACATGTGAAACATCAACTTGAGGACGTCCTCGATTAGAAAACGTGTTCAAAACCAATGGGAGCTGTTGCAAAAAAGTATAAACAAGAGATCGACGATGAGGAATAGTAGCAAATCCTCAATTTACATCATAAACAAAATTGACTGTGTGTCTGTGTGTTCACAAGTTGATTATTCACAAGATGATAATTGATGCGAATTATCCCCATAAAGAAATGTGCACAAAGTGATTTCCTTACAGTTACTCTATGCAACGGACTTACCAACACAACTGCCATCAAGCAGTGTAAATGCTTCATGGCACACACACTCAAAGGATCCTATAGTGTTTCTGCAGTTTTGAAGGCAGTTGTCAATCTCCAAATCACACTCATCAATGTCTGCCATCGAAAAGAATAAGTAAAAACAATACACTTGACCTGTGTTTCTTCCACTCAACATCTACTGTCCAAGGTTCAAATCGAACTAGGTGTGTCAAAGTGTCACTTGCAATCCACCATAACATTCCTAATAAAACCAGCATTGCATCAGTATGTGATGCTGCCGGTGCAAACCAGATCAGACTAGTTCAGACTAGATTAAACCAAGACTTGACTCACCTTGGCAATCCACTATACCGTTCCAAATATTGCATCAGAATGTGATGCTTCCGGTGAAAACCAGAATAGACTAAAGTTCAGACTAAACCAAATTAAGACTTGACTCACCTTGGTAATCGGTACCATTCCCATTAAAGCCAGCATTGCATCAGCATGTGATGCTGCCGGTGCAAACCAGAAAAGACTAAAGTTCAGACTAAACCAAACCAAGACTTGACTTACCTTGGCAATCGGTACCATTCCCATTAAAGCCAGCATTGCATCGGCAATTGAAGCTGCCGGGGATATCGGTGCAAGTAGCGTTCTCATGACAGACTGGTGTCGACCCCTCACATTCATTTACATTGGTACAGTTACGGCCGTCACCAGACAATCCCTCATTACAGGTGCAGGTATAGGAACCCTCGGTGTTATCACACATTGCTTGGATGTTGCATTCATCAGTGTTCCTGCTACACTCATTCACATCTAAGAAAGTAAGAACAATCATTTGAACATAGCACAAAGAAATTGATAGGAATGGTGTTTGAACCTGCGACCTTCGGATTGCCGTTCCGGTGCTCTACCAATTGAACTATTCAGAGTCATTTTGGCAGGTAAGGATTTTGTCAGTTTTTTTATTGAAGGGATGTTGAACAAAATACGAACAAGTATGATAGCTAGGCAAATAGGAACATTTACCATTAGTGAGGGGCAAAACATTAAATCAAGATCCGGGAATCAACACCAAGTCAATTCGAAATTCCATCCAAACACAACCTATTTACCTGTACATGTGAAGCCACTACCTTCATAGCCTTGGCGACACTGACATCTATATGAACCAATCGTGTTTGCACATTCAGCACCGTTGTCACAGTCATTTGTTCCAATGCATTCATTGATATCTGCAATTGTGACAAAATATCCTCAAAATGAAGCTAATGTGCACAGATTTAAATTAGCACACTTTCTAACAATAAACTTTGGAGAATTAAGTTTGTTAACGTGCAGGAAACGTTGAAGAATACCTAAACCCCAGACCAAAACAGGCATTTTTACTGAGACAGTGCCAATGACAGTGACAGTGCCAATGAATTTTGAAACACTTCAGACTATCAAACTTGTTTTAAAGCTTGATTCTTGAATGACACCTACAAAAATGTTTGTTGATGTTGATTCAGTCAACTCTCACTAATTAGTAACTTGTGGGATGAAAGCTTAAAGAGGAAAACAAAAATAAATTATTTTGCGCACAAATGACCCACCCTGCGAGAACCAGGCAGCCAATGATTCCAGTTTTGTAAAGAAATAAATCAATGACTAAACATCTGTGCATTTTTTTACAATGTCTCATTCAAAAGGGAATACATTTTTGATATGAAAAAAAAATTATCTAGCGCACAAATAAACCCGTCTAGCGACATCTAAATGATTGTCTGACAGCCAATATTTTGATTTTTGTTGAAAAATATTTCAATAACTGAACATCTGTGCATTTTTTGGTACAATGCCTCGTTCAAAAGTGAACAATTTTTTTATCTCTGGGAAAAAAGCAAGTGAAAAATCAAAACTATTTCCTTTTGGTGAAACTTGTAAAATTGCACAGGAAACACATCTTTTAATAAAAGGGGTGAAAAATTAAAATGTATTTTTATTTTGACCAACCTTGACAAGATGTGCCATCTCCGTTGAAGCCTGTATTACAACTGCATTCATAGCTACCTTGGGTGTTGTTACAGGTCGCATCGTCTGCACAGTCGTCAGTCTGTGAGTCACATTCATTGATATCTAAAGGAAACCAAACCCAACCCAATCATTACTGAATGACTTCATCCTACTGATGGAATTACAGACTTGTGAGTTAACTACAGTCATGTGACTTGAACGTTATCTTGTTGTGGACTGCTTCATAGTTTATTCCAATGATTACATTTTTCTAACCAACGTGTCATCCTATTTTACGGGATACAAGAGATTTTGATTAGATTAAGGTACGAATTAAGACGTTTTGGCGAATGCAAGGCCAAGATGACTCAAGACGTTACTTTGGCATATCATGCAAAATGGTTCATGCAGTCAGTTCATACTTGCCTACAATCCTGTGTGTGTCTGATGTACAAACTCATCCTGTCTCATTTCCGTATAAGCAAAAGTCAATCATGCAATAAGACATAAAGGCATGTGCTTGGAATACTACTGAAGTGAACCTATCAACAGCAAGTCTCAACGATCAACCGACTCAAGTATCACCTACCGATGCAGCGTTTGCCGTCAACAAACAAGGAATAGCCAGAGTTGCAGCTGCAGTTGAAGCTAGCCAGGGTGTTGACACAATTTTGATCACATCCACGTCCGTTATTACTGGCTGGCTCATCTCTGTACACAACACACTCATCAATATCTGTATAGAAAGGCAATACAGCTACATTGCGTAATATTTGAAGCAATTTCCAAACCACTGACAAAATCACGTCTTATAAAGACTGCCCAAAAACATCAACCTTCTAAATATTTTTCTTAATATGGTCATTTCAGAATTATAAGGCTATGGCTTGCAATTACATATGCGCCTATGGAGTAGCTGCAGCCACATCCCATAGACATGTGTGTTACTACAATCAGTAGCCAAGTTATTTAGACGTGGCTGATTAATGACATTTGTTTGAGGGGTTCAAACATATATACTTTGCAATGAAAACAAAATTGGAGATTTTAGCTATTTAACGTGTATTCATCCCTACCACTTTAGTTCTATACTTCTCCTAAATAGACGACTAGCTTAATATGCAAGTGTAAACAGAAGACCCGAGCTCACAGCTAAAGTGTATATGTGCCACAAGACTGCAACACACTGTGAGACAGTGTGGGGAGGTAAACGTGCAGTTACGTATCCACATTTGTGGGGGGGGGGGGAGTCCATATAAACATGCTCAGATGAAGTTCTTGCAGAGAAAGATCAAGAAATCCTCAGCATACCAATGCAGGACTTGCCGTCTCCCTCCGTTCCTTCTGGACAAGATCCGCAGGTGAAGTTTAAAGATGGTGGGTCATCATCAAAACACGCCACTCCTAAGAAGCAGGGGTTGTCTTGACAGGCGTCATAGTTCATCTCACAGAAGTCACCTGACCAGCCAGGTGTGCAGTTACATAACACAACCTGGAAATTAAGACCAGAATGTTATTCATTCACCACATGCAGGTATCTTGTGTGGGTGCTAGGGGTGTGCATTGACAGGAAGTAGTACGGGAACAGGGTACCCGATTGAAAACCCATTTCAAAAATTCAAATCTCGGAAGTTGCTGTTGAGTTTATGAAGGTCCATATGATAATATAACCACAGCAGTGCATCAATGCACTGCAACTTTCGTGAGCATCTTACAAGGGCGGATCTAGAACACGATTTTTTTTGGGGGGGCCAAAAAAAAATTTGGTCCCCCAAAAAGTGGGTCCAAAAAAATTACGGCTTGGGGTTCGGGGCCCGCTTAAGGGCCCCGAAAAAAATTTGGATTCTAGATGCTCTGTGGTGCGATCTGAGGCAATTTCTGATCACTTTAACCAATGTTTTTTAGGAAAAGATGGTGGTGTACTCATTGCCTGCCTTTATTGCGACGTCACATAAAAAAAAAAAAAAAATGCTTTCGTTTTTTTTTTGGGGGGGGGGCATGGCCCCCTTTGGCCCCCCCCCCCCGGATCCGCCCTTGGCATCTTAAACGTAAAATATGCTTTGTTTGTTATGTAGCCTGGCTATGTCTGAGAAGTTACTAAGTTATTTGTGAAGTTGCTTTTGGGTACCCGATCCCATAATCTGGAACCGATTCCTGACATTAATGGTCGGGTTCTGCCGTTCTGGTACTCAGGTACGGTACCCGGTACCCATGCACAGCCCTGGTGGATGCATGCTTTTTCCAATGTTTTAAACTCAACAAAGGTGGCAAAGAAATCAAAAATGTCATAATTATTTTCATGAAAAAGGGAACATAAGAAAGATGAAATGATTTGAATTTGTTTTTAATTAATCAGAGATTTAAAATTGTTCAGCTCTAAATCTGGGTGTTAATTGGTGGGGGGAGGGGGGCAGGCCCCCTTCACTTTTCAAAGTGGGGTAATATCATATTGTTTGTCAGAATAGCTGATTCAATAACTCACAACTCGAAAATGATGTTTAAAAGATGATATTTTGCTCCCCCCCCCAAAAAAAAAAAAGGTTTTAATGGTCAGAAATTGCCTCAGATCGCACCACAGAGCATCTTATCAAAAATTTATCGGGCTCCTGGAGCGGGCCCCGAACCTCATGTTATATTACGGCTTCGCGCTTCCCGCTTGCATTAGTGCTGATCAAGGTATGCCCCGCCCCCACTTTTGAGAAGTGACTGTGTGTGCAAACATGAGGTAACCCTCAAAGATTTTGTGTAGCTTTTAAACACTGCTGCATTAAACATTAATGTGCACGTTACTGCGGTTATATACCACAGTGACAATCCTTACCCCAAAGCGGCCATCTGTGATGACGTTAGTACCCTCCACATACTCATCATACAGGCATGTACCAGCATTCTTACAGTCACAGAGTTTGACAATCGGTTCCAATGTTGCATTCGCTTTCCCATCAGTCACCAGGAAGCCGAGGGTGACCTTTGACCTATCAGCTGGTGTCCATGTGAACTGGCCTCCTGTAGTTAACAGCAAACAATGTTGGTGTCAAAAAGGACGTCTTAATGTAGGGTTAAGGCAATATATTTGTATTCACATTCGTTTATAAGGATCCTGACATTAGCGAGCACCATACACTGACTCCAACCTACTTTCAGGACAATTCCCTAACTGTTGCAGAGCCGGAAAGTGGTGTTTAAGGTAACACTAACCTGGCGATGAAACAGTCGCCCCTGGAATCACCTCCAGTAACTCATATGATATGTCATCTCCATCAGGATCAACGGCTTGTATCTGCAGTATGAAGGGTTGTCCAACAACTACCTCAACTGTCTCGACCAGTGTGACATTGGGCGGGAAATTGGCTGGAAAATATACAATCATCTTTAAATGATGGAAAGGTAGATATTTGGGGAATTATTAATTAGAACAAATTGGGAGCAGTGTTTGAATGATTACGCGAACATCGGTGGGGGTGGGGGTTCAAAGAATCTTTACCCCCATCCGGCATGACTCCCCCCCCCCCCGAAAAAAGAAGAAAAAACTTAGGCTTGTACCATTCACTGGACATCCAGTACCAACCTCCCTGTCCGCTCTTGCAATTTGTCAGCTGGATATTTCAAGTTTTTGTTCGGCTTAAAACTGACCAACCCCATCCCTGTGCCCCCCACCCATTTTTTTTATTTCAACACCTCTGAAAAAAAGAAAGAATTAAGAATGGATAAACATGTAATTTGCTTGCAGCTGTTGTCATTGAGTTTTATTCAGTTTTCTCCAAAATGGCTTGCAATAAAAACGGCTACATTTTACGTACATTTCCAACATCAAGCCCAATCAGAACATGACTTACTTGCTGCCATCATGTCAATAGTATTCTGCTCACTGAGTTGCATCGATGCCACACCGATTTCCGTACTACCCGTTGCCAAGGCATCATACAAACACACTTCGTTATTTCCGCAGGCATCTTGAGCGGCTTGGAGCTTTGCTGGATCGGCTTCACTCGTGAGATTGTCCAGGAACTTTGGTGTGAAACTGGGATCGTTTATATTTGAAAAACTCTCACCCGGCGGAACGTAGTAGAAGAGGGAATCACTCTCTGAGATGGCCCCTGCATGAGGTCAAAGGTCATACATCAATAAGAATAACGCACGTGCCTATGGAAGCGGCTGCAGCCACTTCCCTTAGACCCGTGTGTTATACCTAGCCGTAGCTAAGTAATTCGGACACGGGTTTATAGGCTACGGCTAATATGGAACTACATCTGCATCTCTGTCCATTGGAACTATGTAGGAACAAGCTTTGGCTCCAGATTAGCCCTTATCATACAGTCTTTTAAACTTGGGTTTTGCATTTCACCAACATGATTTCAGAAGTACTGCATGCTAATGCTTTTAGAGAGCCCAAGAAAAATATTGTTACGATTTTACTCAGGTGGTAATGTATCCCATGGAAATCAAATGTACTGCAACTCTACCACCAAGCTTGCCAAACTGCCGGCTATGGTTCAAATTTAAACTTCATGAAACTTCACACCATTGATCATATTTAATGACTTATATGGGCTTTGTGCAAGAACAAGAGAAGGCCTTTATGAGCACTTTTGAAAGCTCCGTGGATGGGGCACAACGCGTACGTGTGTGTACTGACTCGCGCGTGTATGGCACAAAATGTGCAACACTAATTTTATTCTGACTTATATGCACAAAGCAACAGTGTCTTCGTGTGAACATCAGGCGTTGTCAGCAATGCATTTGAATGTCTCTCCCAAATGGTCTCTCCCCAAACTCTCCCTTTCTTACCAAGGAGGGGGTACTTGTGCATGGAGCCCATATTACTATAGCAAATCTGCTTGATGGTTTATAGAAGCTTTCCTCTGGTGTGCGTTTGTTCAAAAGATACGTAAGGGTAGACCTTTTGCTCATTCAATGTAACTGAATTATATAGTTGCCCCCAAAACCTACAAAATGACTGGTGAATAAGGGTGTATTGACTTACACGTTTGACCAAATGCAAAGAAGTCTTGTTCAGACTGTTCTCCATTTGGACCAGTTACTGTCTGTTGGGTGTTATCACGTCTCAGAGCATCGTTACCTTTGTCCCCATCCCATACACCTGCACATAATGCATGCAAATACTCCCTGACAATTACACTAGTTCAAGTGGTTAACGATTATTGCTGAAATCATGTGATTAGTTTCAGCAGCTGGCACTGTGGTAAATTCAGCACTGTAGTTTGTCTATCATGAGTGTTCACGTCTCCTTGCCCCACTGTGCCAGGTTATGTTGCACCTTGAGGTTATAAAACAACATCAAGCATTGGCAGAGATCGAAATGAGGATTTTTGGATATTAGGAAAGAGAATAAAATACTCCTTAAAATACCCTTTGTTGCACTTCAATTGGACATTTCGTCGTAAAGTATTAAGTTTCCATTGATCGATGTGAAAAGGTGAAATGCTGAGAAAAAAGTTCTTTAAAATTGCAAGTTTTGTAGTCATGAAAATGAAAAGATATTATTTCCTTTTAAAAAAGTGTAGATCATATCAAAGATTAAAAATATCACTAAATCTGAAATCACCAAAAAAAAACCAAAAATCACCCCCATTTTGTTTTGTTTAATTTTTTTCTCCACTACAGCCTGTGCCTAGTTCTGTCTCATTTTGCCAGAACGCCTCATATATTATAATGTGTATAATCATAAAGAAATACATTAATTTTAAGATGCATTACTAAGCTACAGTGCACACAAAGATCTCAAATGATATAAAATCTACACAGGGCATAAAATGAAAGTTTGCAATTTGACATCAAATTAGCAATGCCACAAATGCTTTGCTTACCCAGTAATCCCTTGGTTTTGTTCATGTAGTCTTCACTCAGTTGTGTGGTGATGTCAGCAAAGCTGTTACTGACTCCAACAGAGAACTGAATATCTGCCTGGTAGACTGCGATGATTTTGATTGGATCCTCCTCTCTTAGTACGGTGAAATTGCCAATAAGTAATCCTGAAATCATCAGATTTAAATACTCATCAAACAATAAGCCTCTGTACTGATGGCATCACGTCATTGCCACAGTACAGTATGTTTTAATGGATTTGTCAAGTGTAATAGTGTAATACAATGTAATACACTTGCTGATGGGTACTTTAAGGGGTCTAAAAATGAGCAGCATGCATATGTAATGATGTTATTAATTCACATGGGCATTCGCTAGGATCACATGTGCATGTATCAATTGTTCTCTGTGTCCATGTACAGCATATAGGTACCGCCAATAATGACTCCACAATGAAAATACCAATTTTTCTTATTCTATTCATAAAAAAAACTTGTACGCGAGTTTTGTTGATGTCTCCTAACGCGGCGCAGCCCCATCGTGGAGCACTTTGGGTTTTTTTTCACCTCTGGCCCCTTGCCAGAGCAAAAGATTTACCTAAAATTTCACAGTGAGTGAAATTTCATCAATCTCTTTAATCATTCCCATTCATAAATCTTGAGCTTACCTACTCGTTACAAAGTTAGCGGAAAATGTATTTTGGCCTGATTTCCTGAGTTATTTCGAAGTGCACAATAAACCCTCTAAAATTGCGCCCAAAAAGGAAAAAAAAAAAAATTTCTGACAAACTTCTAATAGGGTATGTGATAATATAGAGATAAAAATGATTTATCAGAATTGTTAAGCTTTAAAGACATTCTTAAATGATAACTTGGGATTTTCTGAGACTTGTTCAAGTGCGCCATATTAGGGAATACTTAGCTGATTTTGTGCCCAACTTCCGGACACCACCGTTTTTGAATTGCGGACTAAATTTCATGACACTGAAATTGTTCACAAAGGTTCAACGCGAGCATTATTAAGGTAACGAACTAATATTTCACTGAATGAGTTTGATCTTTGCCAACAAAGAAGTTTGGCAACACTTTGCATGAGGAAAGTTGGGAGAACTGTTGAAGCGCGCCACGTTAGGGAACACCACTATTAATGTGTACATGTAGGAATTCTTAAACCACTGTCCGTGGTATGTAACCAGTTCTCACCATCAGCTGTGGGTGTGACACTCGCACCGTTAACTTTGGTTTCCAAATCGGTTCCGTCACTGTTTAGTTTGATCTCAATCTGAAACAAATACAAACAAGATTTTAACGCCAGAGTCCATCACAAGTCCATCACAGGTTAAGTCTCAAGCTATTCAAATGAGATTCTAATGACAAAGCCATTCCTTTGTTGTTGTTTATCCCTTTACTTGTTACAGGACGACCATGATTTACTTGTGACCTGACTTGTGATGAACAAATTATTGACAAATAAAAAAGGAAACTATAAAAACAATCTGCCTTAATAAACTCACATACACCAGAACACCAAATCATGCATGGGATCACACACAAGAAACATCAAGATCGAAAACTGATTTGCAAATAGTAAGTCCTTTCTACAACATCTTGCAGATAAAAAGGAGCTCACCCTTGCATCACCGACGTATTCAGCAGCGAATCCAGCAAAGAATGTTGCTTCAGAGAGTTGCTGGGTTTCAGAGTTCAACGCTCGCTGTGTCCTGCCTTGTAGTTCAAACTGTCTCTGTCCATCGTCATCATCAATGAGAGCCATAGTGTATTCACCCAGACCATTGAAGGTGTAGTCCAAACCATCCAGTGTCCTCATGTGTGGGTCGCCAAAGTTCCAGCCTACAATTTGGTGAAGAATTATCAGTTACAGCATTTCTGCAAAAAAATTCATGTTTTGCATGGCACCAATCATTGTTTTGTGATTTTACTTAACAAATATAGTTTCTTTAATAGAAATACATTTTTCCTTAGTAACTCCATGAAATTGGGTAACTGAATTATTCTACAAAGTCAGTCATCTTTGGATCTGCCGGTGGGCCCCGTGCGCAAGTACCCCGTCTGCCACCGGAAAGAAGGGGGGAGTTTGGGGAGACCATCGGGAGAGACTTTGACATCGCCGACGACACCCAACGTCGAGTCCGAATCTCGAGTCACAAGCTCTCAATGGTGTTAAAAAACAACACCTATTGCCTCTCGGAGCCCAATGTCAGTGACTTGTCGGTAAGCCATTTACGAAATAATTGACAGGGGAATGATAGATGTATTTCAAATAAGCAGTCACGCTCAGGCTATTAAAACCTCCTTAGTGATGTCTGATTTGGCTACTCTTCACATTTGCACTGTTGTTAAAAAAAACCCCAGACAACTAGATGACTTACCCCGCCTAGGCGGGCGATATCTCCGACAGCTCTGAATTGGTCTCCATCGTCTGTACAGACGACACAATGAAGACTGCTCACAGCAGTAATAGCGCACCAAGACTCCTTGATCTGTCAAGTTTCAATCATACAACTGTTTGTGATCACTGTATAACTTGCAATCAGAGATTGTAATTTTTACTAAACGTTTGCTTTATATTTTTTTGGTTCAATAATCAGCCTGTGAAGTGTCGTGGGAACCAAATGTAGTAACAATGCTGAGGTTGAGGTACTGCTCATAACGGGTCCAATTTATAATTCGATTAACAAGTCCAGATGCAAGTAACAGGGAATCAACTGTAACAAATAAATGCCTTTGCCACAGCTATTGGTTCTAATCAGAAGAACAGATTATGCTGACATTTGGAGCATTTGGAACCGTTTTTCTTAAGCGGATTGTAGACTTTCTGAAACCTCAATATATTTCCCCCCAAAAAAACTACCTGTCTAAATATTTTTGAAATACCAACCACGAAGTAAATTTAGAAAATGTTTAATTACGCAGATACTCCTAATCCTTGGCATAAACCCTATGAGTTTTGTTTAATTTCCCTCACACCTCATTGCACAATAGTAAGTTGATCACATGTTTGGGCACTGTGACTAAGTTCCCTACCTTAATCATTGTCAGTGCTTCATGTAAAAAAAAAAAGGGGGGCTGCGGTTCGGAAATTGAGATCATTTGCCCTTGAGCATGAAACTGATGTCTTGCCATGTTATGACCAATGGACCAATGGACCATTGTGCAGTGAGGCGTGGGGTACATAAAACTCATACAGGTTTAGGCCAAGGATTAGAAGTATCTGCACAATGAACACATTTTCCAAATTTACTTTGTGATTTTGCTTTTAATACTTCAAAAATATGTTGACAGACACATTTTTTAGGGACACATACAGTGTAGAGTTTATTGATGATAGTCTGAGATGTAGAAGACAAATTGGCTCATCATTGATGAGTTCCTTGAATCAATTGAACATGACCTACCAAACCAACTGTTAAATCGACTGGTTGAGAAGAACAAAGGACTTAATTGAAATGGTTCCATGATTGAAGCAACTCCGGCACTCAGTACACCCCTGAGAAAATCACATCTGGGAATGTTATAGCAACATTGTGGGCCGGGTAACCATGGCAACTGCAAACGCCGGACGTAGCAAATGGTATCTGAAGTAAAACAAGTAGAGAAAAATAGATATCGAGCATCCTATATAAAAATAACACACGGATACCGTAAGTGGAAGAATGAAAATAAAGCACTATAGCAATCAAAATACTTGCTTAGCAATGCAGCCATACTATTTCATGTCTTTAATAAGGGAATAAATATGTACTTAGTCGGTTTTAAACAAGTATGTTTGAAAACCAGCTTGGGGCCTGGACACCGATTATGGCCAAAGCCGAAGGCGAAGTAAATTATCGGTGACCAGGCCACAAGCCAGTTTTTAAACCTTCTTGTTTATAACCGGACTCACTGGTAGTATTGCGCATGCCTTAGTGAGGACTGTGAAGGTTCAACCAATAAAAGGGTAGAAGGGACCTAATTTTATAGTCCAAATTCCATGTGACACAGGAAAAGTGTTTAAAACTAGCCAGTCGGTGTTTTATCAACAGCTCAAAACCACCCCCCTGCCAGGCTCTTGACCAAAAGGAATAGTAAACCATTTCACGTTTTTACGAATAAGTTCAATGCTATAAAGAAATTTGATAATTGGATATTTTTTTCAAATAAAGACGTCACATTTTGCTCACCGAATCGTAGCGAAAACTGTGTGGGCAGTACGTAGGAATATGGAATAGGTACCCATCTCCTGTCCCGACGAGCACTCTGCAGACTGCATGGACAGGTGTTGGCAACCCTCACAGGATACAAATACAGGAAAAAGATATAGCTACTTCTCTGTCGATAATACCAATTATAGCAGAAGAGACGAGGATTGATAAAGTTGGCTTGGAGTGTATCCAGCTGGTAAACCCAACGTCCTATCATTCCAGAATTGCCTACGACGCTACCAGGGCGGAACACGGATCTACCCAGTAAGTCCACATAAACCTTCCGTCCAAACCGCCCACAGGTGAAACCCTGGATGACGTAATGGTTAAATAAGGAGGCTGGGTCCCAATTCATGCCGCATGGATCGTAGTTAAAGATAACATAACTATGTTCTCCGTTTGTCAATAGTATAGCTTGGAAGGTGTTGGTCTCCTGGAAAAAAACCACAATATTGAAAACATCAGTAAGCCAATATTGTCAAATATATATTGTTTAACAAGAACCATCCTTCTACAAATTGTGTACTGAACATCCAAGTACAATCTCATATTGAACCACAGTTGACCGTCAAAGTAGGAAGATTAGTTTATAGACTTTACACTATAGTAAAAACTGTCTCTCCAATTATCTTTGGCAAGTGCTATAAATCTGCATGACTGACATCACGTTTGGAGAAATACTCCTTCGTAAGGTGTATAAAATCAAGATAATTGAATTATGACCATAGACATACTTACAGGAGACAATGAGACAGACTGGACATTACTCCACGTGATGACGAGGACCCAATTGGCCAAGAAGCTGCCATACTGTGCTGACACGATATTACTCAAAGTACGCAACATTGTACTATCCGTCGAAGGGTTGTCATAAAGCTAGCATAAAACAACATAAATAATATAGACATATATATCACCTACGTGATACCGACAGGCAACTGACAGACAGAGTTGTAATGACTTGAGTCAATGACTGGACTCGAGTCCCAATTTTTGGCAACTCGATGCAACTCGGCTCGTGTCGTTACGAGCAAATGACTTAACTGGATCGAGTCCTTCATCAGAAGACTAGACTCCAGTCACAAAATACAGTGACTCACTGCAACTCTTTGGACAGGCAACCAAAACATTCGAGCATATTTTGCATTTGGCCACAGAATACAGTTAAAACGACAGCGCTGAGTTTGCTAACAGTTATTTGCATCATGTGACCGCAACATCCGATTTTGTAAATAGATGTGACATGGTCCATAGGATGTGATGCTGTGATTACAAGGTACTACTGACAAAAGTCAACAGGTGGAGGTGTCATCACACACCATAGCAGGCAACATACATGAGGGCTGGTATAATATCAAGCTAATGATCGCATAACTTGGAGAAAAGCAGTACATTGAGGAATTACTAAATTTGAACATGATAATAATGAATTATATATGTTAGGTGCGATCGGTCGATGTGCGTGACCATGTCGGTCGCACTGCGCTATCGGTCGATCGTGATGCTATCGGTCGATCGCACTGCCACCAGTCGAAAACTTTTTCTTTCTAATTAACGGCTCTGGAGGATTTTCTTTTTAAAAAGTAAATCCTACAAAATCGACCGATCGCGCTATGCGACGGATCGCGCCCAGTTTATACGGTCCATTTCAGGAGGAAAATCCATAATTTTAGTCTCTCCGACAGAGTTTGGGTTCGTCCTGGTGATGAGCGGGAGACCATGTGCTGCTGCAGGCGGCCACGCAGCCTACTCCTGGATTTAACGAAACTGACTCCAACAATAGTCTTTGTCGAACATGACATAAATTCCATCTACAAAATATTTGGCTAGATGTGAGCATTCAGTTGCCTTGCCCCAATTCCTAGGCTGATTTCATCTTACATACCTGCCAAAACACATTGTTTGTGGAGTCAAATGCATCGGCTCGGACGTCTGCCCAGAATGGAGCTATCATTTGCACGTTGCCGTTGAAAGAGAAACTAAAAGTACTCGGGAATGCTTGTTTGTAGATGGTACGTCTGACTCGTCGATTATTGGACAGGATAATCACACCGTTGTCAGTGAACTGATAACAAGAATAAAAAAACAATGTAAACAATTGTTGCTAATTACAAAAATAGTGCTGTTTACTTATTATTCATCATGCATATTGGGGTATATGTATATGTACTGTTATTTCTTGCAAGCTCTCGGACAACACTGAGTATACAGTTTTTATTAATACTACGTCGGTGCGGGGCGAAACCAAATATTAAAAATGTACATCTCCCCAATGCAGAAAATACTATCATAACTGACTGAAGATTACATCGCAATGTCATAATATAAATAATAATAATACATATTTATAAAGTGCACGTATCCACTAGTATTGGTGCTCAAGGCACTGCCTCATTATCTGGCATCCAACTGGAAATTTAGAAAAACTCCAAACTACACAAGGCTTCACACAGTATTTTTCAATTTGTAATGGCATCAATGAGAAGCGAAAAATGAGGAAATCCGAGGAAAAGTTTCATGCCTGCATTAATAACCTTAACATAACTCAACCCATCAAACCCCAACAGTATGTTTTGTTGGAATCTGTCAGGATAGGTACAGTACCCCTAAACTGACAGTCTTTTACATTGGGTTGGCACACCTCCAGAAACAAAGTCAGAAATCTGTGTGTGCAGTTTCCCATATGGTGTTGGAATTTGCCAGGATGGGTATGGTTCCTAGTAAATTATTCTAGGGAGTTAGGATTAACCTGCTCATTGGGCCAATGAAACATTCCAAAGACAATCTCAGCTCCCTGGGGACTATACAGCTCGATGCTGCCATTTGGGTGCACAGCAGCTGAATCAACCACAATAACCATCTCTGCCCTCACAGGTACCCAATTTATATTCTCTGTGGGGAGAAGCAATGAGTGACAAAGTGCCTTGCCCAAAGACACACCCACACACACACCCACACACAGGCTGGACTCGAACCCACAATCTGCAGAATTACCCGCAGACCACGAATTCAATGCTCCAGACCACGGGGCCACGGCACTCCACAGGTCATGCTGATACTTACATATACAAACTCATAGAGCTCATTGCCAAAAGGAAAGAACTGCCGTGAAGTAAAGGTGGGAGAGATCCGATCCTTGGAAGGCAGAAAGAACTGTTTAAGAAAATTATAAACATCTGGAGTTGAAAGCAACATCTATTCTGCATGGGCTGAGTATGAACTCAATCCGACAGATTAAATGTAAACATTGTAATGCCTCTAGCATGAAAGTCCAGTTGCTTTATTGAAAGAATAATTATATTAAACTCACTGGCTGACTGACACTGGAGAGTGCACTGTCTCCAACCCCAAATGGAACAAGACTAGATGCTGCTCAAATAAAAGAAAACAAACATCAACTTTTAAGATTCCACGTCAATCAAATTAGGTCGAGTTCAGACAGGATGGCTTAGCAAGATCAAAATACTCATTTTAAATGTTGCTTGGTAGTATCCACTTGACCTTTCAGTTGATTCCTTAGTTTTCAATCGGAAAAAAAATAGTTAATCCAAATACTCATTAATGTTAGGATCATTTTATTTGAGTTGCTTTGAAAAAAAAAACATCTTCAAAGCGCCATTTTGAAATTAAGAGTTTCGACCAACCATAGTCTTTGATCTATGATGAAGGAAGATGAAAATAATTGGTCCACTGGAATTTCTGGGTTTTTGTAAAATGTGTGATTGGCGAGACACAGGACATTCATGGGATGCCAGGAAATTAGGAGCCAACCATTAAATATTCAGGACAAACTGCAAACATCTTTATTTGCAACATGTTCCTTAGTATTATAATAAATTAATAATGAATTACTTATATATGATGCTTCCTAAATGCCCGCTGACCGTAACAAGTGTATGTACGTGGAATTTGGGAAAGTTGATAGTGTAAACTGGAATGGGATCGCTGGTTGATGATGTATTGGTTTGTATTGGGCATATTTCCAGGATTCTCAATAACTCAGAATCTTCTCAAAACAAAGTTTGTAAACAATGTTCAATATTTCCATTGCGGAAAGAGACAGAGATGTTGTTCAGAAACCTGCAACTGATACCTGATACAATGAGCCTGTTGCGGAAATAAAAGAATAAAAGAAATGACGACAAAATTAATAGAAGAAATGACACCAAACTGACATACCGATGACTGTGATAGTGAATGCACACATTCCTTGGTTCCATGCTGAGTCTTGTGCTGTACATGTCACAGTTGTCTCTCCGATTGCATACACTTCACCCGATGTCACTACGTTGCTATTCTGATTTCTACATGTGACACTGATGTAACCATCCACATTATCTATTGCCCATGGTTGTATAGGCCAATTAACTGCAACATCATTTGTCATTGTGCATCTCTCGATGTTTTCTGGACAGATAACTATTGGATGTGCATTGTCTAAAACAAAACAGGAAAATAATACAACTCTCTTATAACGATATAAAAATAACCTTCACCTTAAAAATTGAACGTTTACTGAAATATTTGTGAAACTAGTTTTACACATGAAATCAGCGAAGAAATTTGTTTAGCAGAAAGTATTGCTAAGCTATGGTAAGCAAGCAGCAATTAACTGGGAACCAGTCACATAACACTGTGCATCACACTGAATTTTGGCTGGTAATCTATCTTTTTTTGCCAGCCAACATTTGTTGAGCTTTTAATTCCTTTACAAAAACATCTTCACCTGATGCAATGTGATGTGCAACAGCAATGTGTGGCTGGGATTATTCTGGCACAATATTGGGTCCTATTGATTATCAGATATACTCACACATCATCTCTTTTTGAAATTCTAATTTGCTACTGAAACCGACCCAATTTTCGGATACAATTTGCCGTACCAAATCCAAACTGACCCAGAACCAAATGTGACGGTTCACATTTAGCACCAGTGTCCGGGATCCTAACCGGTGTCCGGGACCCTAACCGGTTTTACACATATTAGTTTGAAACCAGCCAATTTATTTTCCTATTTATAGCTAAAAGGTTTGTTGCCAAGTATCTGTGGCAGTAATTGTCTATATATTTGATACATTTGCTTACCTCTTACAGTGAATGTGAAGCTTATTAAATCAGTGCAACCAGCCAGGTTAGTGACCCAGCAGGTGACTATATGAGATCCGACGCCAAACATGCCTCCTGTTAGACTGACTTCACCTTCTAAAGAGTCTATACATGTGATGGGTTGACCGTCAGAGTTGATAGCAGTGATTCTTGGCCAGCTCACTGAAGCAGTTGACTGACCACCATCGGTGACTTGATCACTTACACTTGGCACAGTCAGTGATGGTGAGGCTGTGGAGACAAATAAACGAACCATTACGAATACTCATGCATCCTCAATGACTTAAGGGTGTACAATTCTCCTGTGCAAGTATGTGATGCGTCCTGTCAAAATCAGACATTCTCTGGGCAGAAGTTAAATTGGACAAAAAGCCAATAAATAAAGCAAGTTTTGATTTTTGTTAAGCCTAATGTTAATTTGGTTTTTTTTTTATAAAGTTGTGGGATCCTCAATATCTCTAAAATATACTTAAAAAGTCTGAGACAATTTCATTATCTTTTAAGTTATTTTCCTTTAATCTATTTAGATGAATATGTGCAGAAATCCAAGAAGAAAACCTAATATAAATAGACAATATTCTTGTAATTACATTTTTTTTGTGATCAATCACACATTGAAATGGAAATCATTTTATTTGCAGAGGAACGTCCATTTTCTAAAAATGTTGCTTGGTAGTATCCACTTGACCTTTCAGTTGATTCCTTAGTTTTCAATCGGAAAAAAATAGTTAATCCAAATACTCATTAAAGTAAGGATCATTTTATTTGAGTTGCTTTGAAAAAAAAAAAATCTTCAAAGCGCCATTTTAAAATTAAGAGTTTTGACCAACCATAGTCTCTGACTATGATAAAGGAAAATAAAAATAATTGGTCCACTGGAATTTCGGGGTTTTTGTAAAAGATGTGATTGGCGAGACATAGGACCATCATGGGATGCAAGGAAAATAGGAGCCAACCATTAAATATTCAGAACAAACTGCAAACATCTTTATTTGTAACATGTTCCTTAGTATTATAATACATTAATAATGAATTACTTATAGTGCTTCCTAAATGCCCGCTGAACGTAACAAGTGTATGTACGTGGGCTTTGGGAAAGTTGAAGGTGTAGACTGGAATGGGATCGCTGGTTGATGATGTATTGGATTGCATTGGGCATATTTCCAGGATTCTCATTAACTCAGAATCTTCTCAAAACAAAGTTTCTAAACAATGTTCAATATTTCCTCTGCGGAAAGAGACAGGGATGTTGTTCAGAAACCTGCAACTGATACCTGATACAATGAGCCTGTTGCGGATATAAACACTGTAAACACGTTGGGCAAAATGGGCTGATATGTAGACCAACGTTGGTCAACAAATCAACAGGTTAAACTCTTGGGCAAATTTTTCCAAATTGTTGGCAAATTTTTACCCAAATTGGGTAATTTCAAACCAATGTTGGGTCAAATTATATTGCCCAACAGTGTTTTACCTATTTTTTTTTTACAGTGGAAGAATAAAAGAAATGACGACAAAATTAATAGAAGAAATGACACCAAACTGACATACCGATGACTGTGATAGTGAATGCACACATTCCTTGGTTCCATGCTGAGTCTTGTGCTGTACATGTCACAGTTGTCTTTCCGATTGCATACACTTCACCTGATGTCACTACGTTGCTATTCTGATTTCTACATGTGACACTGATGTAACCATCCACATTATCTATTGCCCATGGTTGTATAGGCCAATTAACTGCAACATCATTTGTCATTGTGCATCTCTCGATGTTTTCTGGACAGATAACTATTGGATGTTCATTGTCTAAAACAAAACAGGAAAATAATACAACTCTCTTATAACGATATAAAAATAACCTTCATTCTAAAAATTGAACGTTTACTGAAATATTTATGAAACTAGTTTTACACATTAAATCAGCGAAGAAATTTGTTTAGCAGAAATTATTGCTAAGCTATGGTAAGCAAGCAGCAATTAACTGGGAACCAGTCACATAACGCCGTGCATCACACTGCATTTTGGCTGGTAATCTATCTGATTTTGCCAGCCAACAATTGTTGAGCTTATATTTCCTTTACAAAAACATCGTCACCTGATGCAATGTGATTTGCAACAGCAATGTGTGGCTGGGATTATTCTGGCACAAGATTGGGTCCTATTGATTATCAGATATACTCACACAGCATCTCGTTTTGAAATTCTAATTTGCTACTGAAACCGACCCAAATTTCGGATACAATTTGCCGTACCAAATCCAAACTGACCCAGAACCAAATGTGACGGTTCACATTTAGCACCAATGTCCGGGATCCTAACCGGTGTCCGGGATCCTAACCGGTTTCAAACGTATTAGTTTGAAACCAGCCAATTTATTTCCCTATTTATAGCTAAAAGGTTTGTTGCCAAGTATCTGTGGCAGTAATTGTCTATATATTTGATACATTTGCTTACCTCTTACAGTGAATGTGAAGCTTATTAAAACAGTGCAACCAGCCAAGTTAGTGACCCAGCAGGTGACTGTATGAGATCCGATGCCAAACATGCCTCCTGTTAGACTGACTTCACCTTCTAAAGAGTCTATACATGTGATGGGTTGACCGTCAGAGTTGATAGCAGTGATTCTTGGCCAGCTCACTGAAGCAGTTGACTGACCACCATCGGTGACTTGATCACTTACACTTGGCACAGTCAGTGATGGTGAGGCTGTGGAGACAAATAAACGAACCATTACGAATACTCATGCATCCTCAATGACTTAAGGGTGTACAATTCTCCTGTGCAAGTATGTGATGCGTCCTGTCAAAATCAGACATTCTCTGGGCAGAAGTTAAATTGGACAAAAAGCCAATAAATAAAGCAAGTTTTGATTTTTGTTAAGCCTAATGTTAATTTGGTTTTTTTTTTATAAAGTTGTGTGATCCTCAATATCTCTAAAATATACTTAAAAAGTCTGAAACAATTTCATTATCTTTTAAGTTATTTTCCTTTAATCTATTTAGTTGAATATGTGCAGAAATCCAAGAAGAAAACCTAATATAAATAGACAATATTCTTGTAATTACATTTTTGTGATAAATCACACATTGAAATGGAAATCATTTTATTTGCAGAGGAACGTCCATTTTCTAAAAATGTTGCTTGGTAGTATCCACTTGACCTTTCAGTTGATTCCTTAGTTTTCAATCGGAAAAAAAAATAGTTAATCCAAATACTCATTAAAGTAAGGATCATTTTATTTGAGTTGCTTTGAAAAAAAAAAAATCTTCAAAGCGCCATTTTAAAATTAAGAGTTTTGACCAACCATAGTCTCTGACTATGATAAAGGAAGATGAAAATAATTGGTCCACTAGAATTTCGGGTTTTTTTTAAAAGATGTGATTGGCGAGACATAGGACCATCATGGGATGCCAGGAAATTAGGAGCCAACCATTAAATATTCAGGACAAACTGCAAACATCTTTATTTGCAACATGTTCCTAAGTATTATAATAAATTAATAATGAATTACTTATATATGATGCTTCCTAAATGCCCGCTGACCGTAACAAGTTTATGTACGTGGGCTTGGGAAAGTTGAAGGTGTAGACTGGAATGGGATCGCTGGTTGATGATGTATTGGATTGCATTGGGCATATTTCCAGGATTCTCAATAACTCAGAATCTTCTCAAAACAAAGTTTGTAAACAATGTTCAATATTTCCTCTGCGGAAAGAAACAGGGATGTTGTTCAGAAACCTGCAACTGATACCTGATACAATGAGCCTGTTGCGGATATAAAAGAATAAAATAAATGATGACAACATTAATAGAAGAAATGACACCAAACTGACATACCGATGACTGTGATAGTGAATGTACACATTCCTTGGTTCAATGCTGAGTCTTGTGCTGTACATGTCACAGTTGTCTTTCCGATAGCATACACTTCACCTGATGTCACTACGTTGCTATTCTGATTTCTACATGTGACACTGATGTAACCATCCACATTATCTATTGCCATTGGTTGTGTAGGCCAATAAACTGCAACATCATTTGTCATTGTGCATCTCTCGATGTTTTCTGGACAGGTAACTATTGGATGTTCATTGTCTAAAACAAAACAGGAAAATAATACAACTCTCTTATAACGATATAAAAATAACCTTCACTCTGAAAATTGAACGTTTACTGAAATATTTGTAAAACAAGTTTTACACATGAAATCAGCAAAGAAATGTGTTTAGCAGAAATGATTGCTAAGCTATGGTAAGCAAGCAGCAATTAACTGGGAACCAGTCACATAACACTGTGCATCACACTGACTTTTGGATGGTAATCTATCTGTTTTTGCCAGCCAACTTTTTGAGCTTATAATTCCTTTACATAAACATCGTCACCTGATGCAATGTGATTTGCAACAGCAATGTGTGGCTGGGATTATTCTGGCACAAGATTGGGTCATATTGATTATCAGATATACTCACACAGCATCTCGTTTTGAAATTCTAATTTGCTACTGAAACCGACCCAAATTTCGGATACAATTTGCCGTACCAAATCCAAACTGACCCAGAACCAAATGTGACGGTTCACATTTAGCACCAGTGTCCGGGATCCTAACCGGTGTCCGGGATCCTAACCGGTTTCAAACGTTTTAGTTTGAAACCAGCCAATTTATTTCCCTATTTATAGCTAAAAGGTTTGTTGCCAAGTATCTGTGACAGTAATTGTCTATATATTTGATACATTTGCTTACCTCTTACAGTGAATGTGAAGCTTATTAAAACAGTGCAACCAGCCAAGTTAGTGACCCAGCAGGTGACTGTATGAGATCCGATGCCAAACATGCCTCCTGTTAGACTGACTTCACCTTCTAAAGAGTCTAAACATGTGATGGGTTGACCGTCAGAGTTGATAGCAGTGATTGTTGGCCAGCTCACTGAAGCAGTTGACTGACCATCATCGGTGACTTGATCACTTACACTTGGCACAGTCAGTGATGGTGAGGCTGTGGAGTCAAATAAACGAACCATTACGGATACTCATGCATCCTCAATGACTTAAGGGTGTACAATTCTCCCGTGCAAGTATGTGATGCGTCCTGTCAAAACCAGACATTCTCTGGGCAGAAGTTGAAATGGATAAACAGTCAATAAATAAAGCAGGTTTTGATTATTTATTTTAGCCTGTTGTTGATTTTTTTTTTTATAAACTTGTGTGTTCCTCAATATCTCTAAAATATACTGAAAAAAGTCTGAGATAATTTCATTATCTTTTAAATTCTTTTCCTTTAACCCTAAAAGGGCCGGGGGGGCGGAATCCGCCCCCCCCCCCTCAACATTTTCCGCGATAGCTTCTAAAAAAAAATTTTTCGCGACCCGAGCTGTTATGACTTTTTAGCCTCGAGCTTTGCGCATCTTTTGATACCAAAAACATAAAAATCAGACCACGGGTTAGCCTGTAGCGAAAAATTTTCCGGCGCTACGCGCCGTAAAAACTGAATTTTCGCATATATGTCGTGTACACCGAGCAGAATTGCCATTCATACATATGAATAATTAATTAGCCATAACTCCAAAACCCTTTGACCTATAGTCATGAAATTTCTTGGGCATGTTTAGGAAGAGTTGCTCTATGCATGTGCTGAGTTTCAAATCCAAGAAGAAAACTTAATATGAACAGACAATATTTCTGTAATTACATTATTATGATATATCACAAATTGAAATGGAAATAATTCTATTTGCAGAGGAACGTCCATTTTCTAAAATTAACTTTCAATGTTCGAAGAAGGGAAGCTGTATATTTGTACATTACTCCCAACTGCGAGAAGAGCGTGTTTTTGTAAGGACTTGATTAATAACATTTAACAAAAATCATCAACTGGTACTTCATGTTAAAACAGAAAATAACTGACTAAAACGATTTGGGAAGTGATTTGAAACTGACGTACCAATGACTGTGATAGTGAATGTACACATTCCTTGGTTCAATGCTGAGTCCTGTGCCGTGCATGTCACAGATGTCTCTCCGAGTGCATACACTCCACCTGAAATCTTTGTACAGGTGATGTCACTAACACTGATGGAACCATCCACATTATCCATTGCCGATGGTTGGGTGGGCCAATTAACTACAACATCATCTGTCACTGTGCATCGCTCAATGTTTTCTGGACAGGTAACTACTGGATCTTCATTGTCTAAAACAAAACAGTAAAGGAATACATATCTCATACATATAGAAAGATCTATTTGTGTAAGCTGTTTTTTCACATACCATGACTACCTGCAATATGCTGCAGTTCTAATCAGAAAATTATCCCCCTTCCCCTGAAAAAGCAACCCCCCCAACAAACAAACAAACAAAAAAAAGGAAAAGAAAAGAAAGAAAAGGAGGAGCGAAGTCATATTGCTGTTTATTTAATGGATGGGGGGAAGCATGTCCCTGCCCAACCTCGAGAAATGATAATTTTATAACATGCTCGAAAAGTACAAGGATTCCGTGGAGGGGGATGTGCTTTGCCCCCTCCAGAAAAAAAACTGTTGCGACGCCCACTCAAAAAGTGTAAGTGCAAACGTCGTAACTCAGTTTTTAATCGTTTTGAAAAAAAATGCATCAATAGGTTTGCGATGGCACGTTAAATGTTTGCGGTTCATTAAAAGGTAAAGTAACCTCATCAAGACAATTTTGTCAGAAACATGTTAAGCATGTTGGATACTCTGTTGCCCCATGTGATTTTGGATAAGAGATCTTTTAATTGAATGAGATCAACATACAACATGTTTGCTTGAGATGGCGGCGCTATGTAAAATTTTGTCAAAACGTCATAACTGGTCGAGATACGACGTTTTAGCATGAGCACACACTAAGGCCCCATTACTTTAGCACTTTCACCTTCAATTGGCTTAAGTCACGAAATATCTTTATTATAATTCCAAAAAATATCAAAGAATTGAACAGTGTGCTTGTGTTCAGCTTAGTTCAATTCGAGAAGTTTGTTTATACATGTAATTTCCAGTAGCATCTTTTTTAGTGCAGGAATAGTCTTTAGTCTAATATTTCTATTATTTTCGATTTACTTCTTTTCTGATTCTCATCTTTTCTACAAACTTATCATTTTTTATTATAAAATAACGCATTTTGGTTTTAAGAAAATACGAAAGTAAACTTAACTGGTGTCACATCAGTTCACGAACATGAATTTCAATGACTTTTGAGATACAACGTTTCAATGCACAAACACGAACGTATATAAACGCGCTAAGATACAATGTTCCGCTTTCATTCATTTGCTGGTAATTGAGATACGACCTTATGACTTTAATCAATTACGTCATAATGTAACAATACTTTTTAATGAAACTCTCCTGTAATAATCTTTTGGTAAATCTTGATACAATTACCAAAAAGCTGAATTTCGACAAATTTGGCAGTTACGACGTTTTTGCACTGAAACAACAATATGTCTAGATCATGTAGCTATGGATCATGCCCAAAGTCACGACACTAGCAACACTAGCAATGCTACAGACACGAGAAATAGCAAATGGGATCACTCAAGTGACTAACTTTAACATTGGCCACTTACATACCTGAGACCTTGAATGTGAAGCTTTCTGAAACAGTGCAACCAGCCAAGTTAGTGACACAGCAGGTGATAGTGTGACATCCGACGCCAAACATGCCTCCGGTTAGACTGACTTCACCTGGTAAACATGTGATGGGTTGACTGTCAGAGTTGATAGCAGTGATTGTTGGCCAGCTCACTGAAGCAGTTGATTTGCCTTCATCAGTGTTTTGATCACTTACACTTGGCACGGTCAGTGATGGTGGTGCTGATGCTGATGCTGTTGAACAAAAAGAATCATTATATTTAAAGATACACTGGAGCATCGGCAAAAAGTAGTAACCCTCGGAATTGCCCAGCCGCAATGACTTTAGGAAGCGTCTCAAGGGTGGGAATGTTCCCGTTCCATATTGAACGTTTCTTTTAGAAAAACTGTGTGTTCCAAACAGGCCCGCTCCTGAATAAGCGTGCACACGCATACACCGACATTCCCACACGAGATCATCCTGGCTTTCCCGGGCTGTTCGCAGTTTTGACAACTTATGTTCCCTATTAGAACGGGCGATATTTACTGGTGGAACATTCCAACTTTTGCGACGTTTCCTAAGTGTGTATGTTTCTGTTTTGCAAGTATGTGATGAGTCCTTTCAAATCCAGACGCTTTATGGCCTCAGTTCGTAATACACACACAACCAGAATATCATGTTAGCGTGATTTCCTGTGACTATTGCTGATTTTCTTTTTTACAAATTTACGAGACCCTAAATGTCTTTAAAATATACTGGAAACTTTCAAACAATAATTTATGCCTCTAAGATGCCTTTTTTTTTTTAAATGTTTTTTATGGAATACACCGCAAAATTAATAACATTTGACTTGATTAATAACATTTGACACAAATCATCAACTGGTGCTTCATGTTAAAACAGAAAAATACTGATTAAAACGATTTGGAAGTGATTTCAAACTGACGTACCAATGACTGTGATAGTGAATGTACACATTCCTTGGTTCAATGCTGAGTCATGTGCCATGCATGTCACAGGTGTCCCTCCGGTTGCATACACTCCACCTGATATCTTTGTACAGGTGATGTCATTAACACTGATGGAACCATCCACATTATCCATTGCCGATGGTTGTGTGGGCCAATTAACTACAACATCATTTGTCATTGTGCATCGCTCAATGTCATCTGGACAGGTAACTACTGGATCTTCATTATCTAAAACAAAACAGTAAAGGAATACATATCTCATACATATAGAAAGATCTATTTATGTAAGCAGTTTTTCACATGCTATCTATGAGTACCTGCAATTTGCTGCATTTCTTATCAGAAATTATCCCCCTTCCCCTAAAAAAGCAACCAAAAAACAACAACAACCAAACAAACAAACAAACAAAAAAAAGGAAAAGAAAAGAAAGAAAAGGAGGAGCGAAGTCATATTGCTGTTTATTTAATGGATGGGGGGAAGTATGTCCCTGCCTAACCTCGAGAAATGATAATTTTATAACATGCTCGAAAAGTACATGGATTCCGGGGAGGGGGATGTGCTTTGCCCCCTCCAGAAAAAAACTGTTGCGACGCCCACTCAATAAGTGCAAGTGCAAACGTCGTAACTCAGTTTTTAATCGTTTTGAAAAAAAATGCATCAATAGGTTTGCGATGGCACGTTAAATGTTTGCGGTTCATTAAAAGGTAAAGTAACCTCATCAAGACAATATGTTCAGCATGTTGGATACTTTGTTGCCCCATGTTATTTTGGATAAAAGATCTTTTACTTGAATGAGATCAACATACAACATGTTTGCTTAAGATAGCGGCGCTATGTACAATTTTGTCAAAACGTCACTAATAACTGGTCGAGATACGACGTTTTGGCATGAGCACACACTAAGGCCCCATTACTTTAGCACTTTCACCTCCAATTGGCTTAAGTCACGAAATATCTTTACTATCATTTCAAAAATATCTAAGAATTGAACAGTGTGCTTGTGTTTAGCTTGTCCAGTTCGAGAAGTTTGTTAATACATGTAATTCCCAGTAGCATCTTATTTAGTGCAGGAATCGTGTTTAGTCTAATAGTTCTATTATTTTCCATTTACTTCATTTTTGATTCTCATCTTTTCTACAAACTTATTATTTTTTTAATATAAAACAACAATATTTTGTGTTATTTCTTTCAATGTAGTAATTTGGTTTTAAGAAAATACAAAAGTAAACTTATCTGGTGTCAAATCAGTACACAAACATGAATTTCGATGACTTTGAGATACGACGTTTAAATGCACAAACACGAACGTTTGGCATTTTGCATATAAGCGCGCTGAGATACAATGTTCTGCTTTCATGCATTTGCTGGTAATTGAGATACGACCTTGTGACTTTAATCAACTTTACGTCATAATGAAACAATATTTTTCACTGAAACTCTCCTTTAATAATATTTTGGTAAATCTTGATACAATTACACAAAGAGCTGAATTTTGACAAAGTTGGCAGTTACGACGCTTTTGCACCGACACAACAATTTGTCTTGATCATGTAGCTATGAATCATGCCCAAAGTCACGGCACTAGCAACATTAGCAATGCTACAGACACGAGAAATAGCAAATGGGGTAACTCAAGTGACAAACTTTAACATTGGCCACTTACATACCTGAGACCTTGAATGTGAAGCTTTCTGAAACAGTGCGACCAGCCAAGTTAGTGACACAGCAGGTGATTGTATGACATCCAACTTCAAACATGCCTCCTGTTAGACTGACTTCGTCATCTGAAGAGTCTTTACATGTAATGGGTTGACCGTCAGAGTTGGTTGCAGTAACTTCAGCCCAGGTGACTGTAGCAGTTGACTTACCTTCATCAGTGTTTTGATCACTTACACTTGGCAGGGCAAGTGATGGTGAGGCTGTGAAGACAAATGAACGAACTATTTACAAGAATACACCCACGATGATAAGGGTGTGCAATTCTCCTATCCAAGTATGTGATGCGTCCTGTCAAAACCAGACATTCGCACGACAGACATTCAAAGACCAACGTTCTCACGCGAGATTACCCTGGCTTTCCCGGGCTGTTACCAATGGGAACAACTGATATTCTCAATTAGAACAAGCGATATTTACTGGTGGAACATTCCAACTTTTGAGACGTTCCCTAAGTGTGTACGTTTCTTGCAAGTATGTGATGCAAGTATGTCTTGCAAGTATGTGTCTTGCAAGTATGTGATGAGTCCTTTCAAAACCAGGCACTTGCTAGCCTCAGTTAATTATATACAATCAAAAAATCATGTTAAGGTGATTTCTTGTGGTTATTGCTGAATTTTTTTTCACAATTTTGCAAAACCCTAAATATCTCTAAAATATACTGGAAATGAACAATAATGCCTCTTAGATGATCTGTTTTTTTTATGCTTTGATGGAATATATCGCATAAAGGAAAGTAAGGCCTTGATAAATAACGTTTGACAAGGAAAAAACATCCACTTTGAGGCTTCGTGTTAATGTCAGAAATAACTGAATTATCCATTGCCGATGGTTGTGTGGGCCAATTAACTACAACATCATTTGTCATTGTGCATTGCTCAATGTCATCTGGACAGGTAACTACTGGATCTTCATTATCTAAAACAAAACAGGAAAGTAATTCATATGTCCAATAATAGAAACATATATACATTCATTCACAAAACTGAACGTTTACAGAAAGATTTATTTGTGAAAAAATGTGTTCACTTTCCATGACTATTACACATCCCTGTGAATGTGCATACCCCTATGTAACCTAATCGGACTTGTACTTCCGACGTTATAGCGAGTTAAAAATATTCACATTTAATGCCACGTCCAGTGACACATGATGACGTCATCGATACGAATTAATTGGGGACCATCATCGGCTTCTGGGCTTAGTGTCTGACAAGTGTAAAGTCATTCAGTGTATGGTTTGGAGACAAAAAGTTTACAAAACAAATGGGGAAACGATGCATCTCTAATGTGACGTAACCTGACACTTCATGACGTCATGATCCCAAATTTCTTCTGGGACCATCTGTGGGTAGTCTAAGTCTGTATTAAGTGTAAAGACGATCAGATTTACGAAGGTGCCAAACTGGAGTGTTTTAAAACGTGTGCAAAACATTTGGGGGAAAATGTAGCTTTAATGTCACGTAACCCGACACCTGATGACGTCACGATCACGAGTTTCTTCTAGGACCATCTGTGAGTGGTGTTCTAAGTATGTACCAAGTTTGAAATCAATTCGACTTAAAAAAAAAAGGTCAAATTGGACTGGTAGAAGAAACGTGTGCAAAACCTTTGGAGAAAAAGTCTAAAAAGGAGAAAAAAAACTCGAAATATGTTTGGTGACAAACACACGCTGTTTTGGATATTTAAAATACTTTGTGAACGTGATGTACAATTAGTGACGTAACGAAAAACTCATGCATAACAGCACGTGTCATGTTACAACCAAATAGGACATTATACCGGTAGTTCTGTAGCTAAAGAGGTATACAAGAATAAAATGCCCCTTTAAGGGACGTCTCTGACGTTTGATAATGACGTCACTTCAATTTCCATCTATGACACATCCCTGTGAATGTGCATGGCAAGTTTTAACCAAATTGGACTTGCACTTGTAATATTGCAGAGGATAAATAAAAAGAGTCAGGTAAGGATCAGAAATAATCTTCCTTTTAATAAACTGTACACCAGTTTTACAAAAGTTTGGAAGATCATAAATTATCTTCCAAATTTTTCAAAATCCACGGATCTGCAGAAGATTTTCATGCCTTTAAAATCGTTACAAAAATGAACTTTTTGGTCAAATTTATGATATAAAATTGCATGATGATGTTTTATCGTGACTTCAGGTAAAATAACTTGTATACCACGTACGTATCGGACTAAGTTCATTCGCAATTCTGACCCATTCAGACAGATAGTTTTCTCAAAATGAGACTTTGAAAAATGCATCTTTGTGATGACGTCACATGCCTTACAATGTCTTCATCTGTGTTCAATTTTGAAAGCGGAATGAAATTGTAAATATTTAAAAAAAATCATTAAAAAAAATCAACCGATGACGTCATGGTGACTTCATTTCGGATTTTGCATACTACATGTAGTACCATTATCTAGCTATCCACCAAGTTTCATGACGGACTTTCTGATTTTTTCGAAAATCGCATTTTTGATGAGGTTATGATGACGTCACACATATTTCAAAATGTTGTGCATATGCCTATAACCTAATAAACCAAATAAAAAAATAAAATAAAAATAAAAATTTCGCATGTTGCTTTCTGAGATATGGCTTCAAGGTCCAAACATTCAAATATTCATATAAAATTGCACGAGGACGTCATCATGACGTCAACTCGTTTTTTTACTTATAACACATCCCGGTCTACGCACAAATTAAGTTTCAACCTAATTGGACTTACTGTTCAGTAGATATAGGACTTCGAATTATGCACGGTTGTGATGACGTCACGTGACCACTGATTACGTACTTATGACGTCACTCTTCGGGACACAACTTTGATATGAGGACAATGCATATGCTTAACTTGAATGACGTTGACAAAAATAAATGCCAAAAGTGACGTGCACTAGAATCGTGCACAAGGTCATTCACCTGGCCCTTCACCGACATACTTTATCAACACTGTACACCGAGTTTTGCCTCGAATCATTGTGGGGAAAAAGCTCATTGCGGTACCCGCTGCTAAATGATTCTAACAAGCCAGCCGACCCCAGCAAGTTCAGTGATCGAGTGGTAAGACATCAGCGCTAGTGAGCAGAAGGTGCAAACAGCCAGACAGATGGACAGATATCTTTGTGATCTCTCCTTTTACATTTCTACATTAGAATTGGCATTACCTTCAGTTGTTGATGCTGATGGCTCAGGTGTTCTTCCACAGTAACACCAAATGGGCGTTGCTGACTCATGGACTCCATTTAATGAATTCAGGACTTTAGCGGCTGGCTGTGGGACTTCAGCGGCTGACGTGGTGGCTTCAGCGGCTGATGATGTGACTTCAGTGGTTGACTCTATCCTTTCAGCGCCTGAATTTGTGTTTTCAGCAGCTGAAGTTGCGGCTTCAGCGGCTGAAGTTGTTACTTCAGCGGCCGATGCTGTGCTTTTAGCGGCTGAAGTTGTGGCTTTAGTGACTGTAGTTGTGGCTTCAGCGGCTGATGCTGTGCTTTCAGCGGCTGTTGTGGCTTCAGCAACTGATGCTGTGACTTCAGTGGTTGACTTTGTGTTTTCAGTGGCTGAAATTGTGGCTTCAGCGGCTGAAGTTGTGGCTTCAGCAACTGATGTTCTGACTTCAGCGGTTGACTCTTTGACTCCGGTTGTGTAATCTGATGGTTCTGAGGTGCTTGGTATCTGTGTGGTTGCACACAAGCACCAAGTAATAGTTGGTTCCGTGGTGTAAGACGGTGTATCTGTGGGATCTGAAGTTGCAGGATAAGGAATATATGTATTAGAGCCGTTATGGATTACACAAGCTTGATATTTGAAATACTCTGTGCACGTGATGAGCAATTAGTGATGTCACTACAAATGTCTTATAACAGCACCTTATACAAATATGTCAAGTTTCAACTAAATCTAACCTTACAGTTCTGTACATGTAGTCTTACAAAAGAATAAAATGCCCCTTTAAGGGACGTCACATGACACTTGATGATGACGTCACTTAAATTTCCATGTATAACACATCCCTGTGGATGTGTATACACGTTTTAACTTAATCGGACTTGTACTAACGACGTTATAGCGATTCGAAAAAAAAATGCCTATTTCAAGTCACATCACGTGAGAAATGATGACATCATCGTTACGAATTCATCGGGGACCATCTTCGGCTGCTAGTAATAGTGTCTAAAACGTGTACAAAACATATGGGAAAAATATATCTTTAATGTCACGTAACCCAACACCTGATGACGTCACGATCACGAATTTCTTCTAGGACCATCTGTAGGTAGGTTTCTAAGTATGTACCAAGTCTTACATCAGTCAGATATAAAAACAAAAAGTGCCAAAGTGGACTGGTAGAAGAAACGTGTGCAAAACCCATGGAGAAAAAGTCTGAAAAAGGAGAAGAAAAAAAAGAACTAGAAATGTGTTTGCGGACAAACACAAGCTGTTTCGGATATTTGAAATACTCTGTGCACGTGATGAACAATAACTGACGTCACTAATCGTTAACAGCACATTATACGTACATATTAAGTTACAACCAAATCGAACATACAGTTCTGTAAATATAGACTTATAAAGAACAAAAAGCCCCTTTAAGGGACGTCACATGACATTTGATGAAAACATCACTGGAATTTTCATCTATAACACATCTCGGCATTGGTACCTATCAATTTACAATCCAATCACACCTATGGCTCTGTAGATATAGGCCTTAGAAAAATGCTGTCTCAATGTGACGTCACATGACATGTCATAACGTCATGATGGCATCACTTCAATTTTCAAACTAATCCTGTGTATGTGCATACCAACTTTCAACCCAATCGGACATGTACTTCAGAAGTTATAGGGATTTGAAAAATGAACATTTAATATGATATCACGTGACAAATGATGACGTCATCTTTACGAAAATCATCCAAACTATCTTTGGCTGTTGGTCTAAATATCTGCCAAGTGTTAAGTCAATAAGACATACCCCGGTATGAAAGTGCCAAAGTGTACCGTTTGAAGAAAAACGTGTACAAAACATATGGGAAAAATGAATATTTAATGATACGTATCCTAACACCTGATGACGGCACGATCACGCATTTCTTCTAAGACCATCTGTAGGTGGTGGCCTAAAAATGTACAAAGTCTGAAGTCGATCAGATTTCTGAAAGTGCCCAAAGTGGAGTGTTTTAAAACGTGTACAAAACGTATGGGGGAAAATGCATCTTTAATGTCATGTAACCTGACATCTGATGACGTCACGATAACACATTTCTTTTAGGACCATCTGTGGGTGGTGGTACCAAGTATGTACGAAGTCTGAAATCGATCGGATTTTAAAAAGTGCCAAAGTGGACTGGTGGAAGAAAGAAAAGAAAAAAATAGAAATGTGTTTGTGGAAAAACACAAGCTGTTTCGGATATTTGAAATACTCTGTGAACGTGATGAACAATAAGTGACGTCACTACAAATGCCATCTATAACAGCATATTATACGTACATGTCAAGTTACAACCAAATGAAACATATATAGTTCTGTAGATATATGCCTATAATAGAAAAGAATGCCCCTTTAAGGGATGTCACATGACATTTCATGATGACATTACTTGAATTTTCATCTATAACACAACTCGCTATGAGTGCCTATCAATTTTCCATCAATCGGACTTGTACTTCAGAAGTTAAAGCGATTTGCAAAATGCACATTTAATATGCCGTCACGTGACACATGACGTCATCGTTACAAAAATCATCAGGGACCATCTTCGGTTGGTGAAGTCACGATAAAGAATTTGTTCTAGGTCCATCTGTTGGTGGTGATCTAACTATGTACCTAGTCTGAAATCGATCAGATTGACGAAAGTGCCCAAAGTGGAGTGCTTTTAAACGTGTACAAAACCTATGGGGAAAATGCAGCTTTAATGTGACTGTTAATGTATTCACAAGTTTGCATTTGTGTATAGCGCCCTCTGTCAGATGACTTTGGAGAACACAACTGAGCCACGAACAAACACACATTAGGACATGTAAAATTTCTTCATAACAGACATCTTTCGACGATATTTTCCGAGAATTACTTGAGGTCAGTGGCGTCACCAGACTTTTCAGTCGGGGGGCACCAGCATTTGATGGGGGGGGTCACTTAGGTGGATACGGATCGCCGTCCCGGGGGAGGGGTCTAAGGGGAGGGGGTGCCCCCCTCCCCTTTGGAAAATTTTCGCATACGGAGGATGGGCTAGATGCAAAATGGTGCCACATTTGATGCTAAATTCGATCTGAAGATATCTCCAGAAATTGCTATTTTTGAGGTAATGATTTTAACAACGCGCAGAATTTTGCAGAGAATAGGGGGGCACCAGCATTTGATGGGGGGGGGGGGCACTCGGGGGGCACTTGGTTTTCCAGGGGGGCACGTGCCCCCCCCCCCCCTGCCCCCCCCCCCCCCTTGGCGACGCCACTGCTTGAGGTTTTGTCTCTTTTGAGACCCAACAAACTGAAATAAGAGGGAAAAGATGCAAGGAGGTAATTTAGAGACTCTTAATAATTCTTGAGAAAGAAGTGTAAACCATATATTTGATTCATTTTATAGATAATTCTGCGATTAGTTTTGACATTCTGTAGCTCAAAATAAAATTGAGTGTGATTTTCGTATATGTTTAACCATTGAATCTAGGAATTTGGATTAAGTGATGATATATGTACGATGCTTTTATAATTCATGTAATATTTTGTGAACTTAAGGACATTTACTTTGTTGATACATTCACAGTTTTCACGAAGCCACTGCGGATTATTTCACAAGCCAGTGCGAATCATTTCATGGAATCAAGACTTGAAAAACATATCATCATTTTCATGGAATAAATGCGAAAAAGAACTTTGTTGTTATAATCAACGGCTTCTGTAGAGACCCTTGCTTACTCGTTATTAGTCACCGACCTTTGACCTAGATGTGACCTGTGACCGCCTGCGAAACCCCTAGTAGTAGCACTTCGAACACCTAAAACACTGCACCTCGAAATTGATTTAGTGCTGCCGCTACAGTGACGTAACCCGACACTTGATGACGTCACGATCACGAATTTCTTTTAGGACCATCTGTGAGTAGTGGTTTAAATATTTATTAAGTCTGGAATTGATTGGATTTTAAAAAGTGCCAAAGTGGACTGGTGGAAGAAACGTGTGCTAAACCTATGGAGAACAAGTCTGAAACAAAAGATGTTTCGGATATTTGAAATACTCTTTGCACGTGATGAACAATCAGTGACGTCACTAAAATGTCATCTATAACAGCACATTATCAGTACATGTCAAATTACAACCGATCATATAGGTCTGTAAATATACGCCTATAAAGAACAAAATTCTCCTATAAGGGACATCACATGACATTTTATGATGACTTCACTTGAATTTCAATCTATAACATATCTCGGCATTAATACCTATCAAGTTACAATCGAATCAGACCTATGGATCTGTAGATTCATATAATTTCTTTTAGGATCATCTGTGGGTGGTGTTCTACGTATGAACCAAGTCTGAAATCGATCGGAATTTAAAAAAAAGTGACAAAGTGGACTGGTGGAAGAAACGTGTACAATACCTATGGAGAACAAGTCTGAAAAAGGAGAAGGGAAAAAAGTCTTAACGAAAACAAGACCTGTTTCGGTGATTACGCCAAAAGAGCTAAAAAGAAAAAAGAAAAAAAATCTTAACGAAAACAAGAGCTGTTTCGGTGTGTACACCGAAACAGCTAAACAAAATCTTAACGAAAACCAGAGCTTTTTTGGTGTACACCGAAACAGCTTAACAAATTTTTAACGAAAACAAGAGCTGTGTCTGTGTGTCACCGAAACAGCTAAAAACAAGTCCTAACGAAAATAAGGGCTGTTTCAGTGTGTACATCGAAACAGCTAAAAAAAATATTAACGAAAACAACAGCTGTTTCGATGTGTACACCGAAACAGCTAACTACAATTAACTTGGTACCATTTGTTCAAGTGACAAGAAAGTGACAAGAAAGTGACAGAAACAACCGGAAACCTTTGTAACTTTGAACTTTCAAGTAATATTGAAATACTACAATTTGTTTACATTGGTCATGGGTTACATCTCAGCGTTTGTTTGTTGGGGTGTGTGTTTGTTTGTTTGTTTGTTTGTTTGTTGGGGTGTTGGGGTGTTTGTTTGTTTGTTTGTGTTCTTACATTGCATCTCATACCTATAACGTTAAAATTAACAAAGAACTCATGACTTCATTCAAGTAATCTGACAATCAATCAATAACTTAGGAAAACAAAAGGCATGAATTGTACTTTTACCGCCGGTGCGTGGTGTCAGAGTTGTCCCCGTCGGTGGCGCAGTTGTCCCTGTGGGTGGCGCAGTTGTCCCTGTGGGTGGCGCAGTTGTCCCTGTGGGTGGCGCAGTTGTCCCTGTGGGTGTCACAGTTGTCTCTATGGGTGTCGCAGTTGTCTCTGTGGGTGATGCAGTTGTCCGTGATGTATCTGAGCCTATGATTGATGTGTCTGGGCCTGTGGTTGGTGGGCCTGTAGTTGATGTGCCTGGGCCTGTGGTTGATGGACCTGTGGTTGATGGGCCAATAGTTGATATGCCTGGGCCTATGGTTGATGTGCCTGGGACTGTGGTTGATGGGCCTATAGTTGATGTACCTGGGCCTGTGGTTGATGGGCCTATGGCTGATGTGCCCGGGCCTGTGTTTGATGTGCCTGTGGCTGATGTGCCTGGGACTGTGGTTGGTGGGCCTGTGGTTGATGGGTCTATAGTTGATGTGCCTGGGCCTGAGGTTGATGGGCCCGTGGTTGATGGGCCTATGGTTGATGTGCCTGGGACTGTGGTTGATGGGCCTATAGTTGATGTGCCCGGGCCTGTAGTTGATAGGCCTTTGGTTGATGGGCCTGGGACAGCGGTTGATGGTTCTGTGGTTGGTGGGAATATAATTGATGTGCCTGGGACTGTGGTTGATGGGCCCGTGGTTGATGTGCCTATGGCTGATGTGCCCGGGCCTGTGGTGGTTTGGCCTGTGGTTGATGAGACTATAGTTGATGTGGCTGGGCCTTTGGTTGATGGGCCTATGGCTGATGTGCCCGGGCCTGTGGTGGTTTGGCCTGTGGTTGATGGGCCTATAGTTGATATGCCTGGGCCTTTGGTTGATGGGCCTATGGCTGATGTGCCCGGGCCTGTGGTTGTTTGGCCTGTGGTTGATGGGCCTATAGTTGATGTGCCTGGGACTGTGGTTGATGGGCCTGTGGTTGATGGGTCTACAGTTGATGTGCCTGGGCCTGTAGTTGATGGGCCCGTGGTTGATGGGCCCATAATTGATGTGCCTGGGCCCGTGGTAGATGGGCCTAAAGTTGATGTGCCTGAGCCTGTGGTTGACGGGCCTGTGGTTGATAGGCCTATGGTTGATGTGCCTGGGCCTGTGATTGATGGGCCTGTGGTTAATCGGCCTATAGTTGAAGTGCCCGGGCCTGTGGTTGATGGGCCTGGGCCTGTGGTAGATGGGCCGTTTGTTGATGTGCCTAGGCCTATGGTTGATGGGCCTATGGCTGCAGTGCCCCGGCCTGTGGTTGATGTGACTGGGCCTGTGGTTGATGTAAGCATTGTTTAAAGACATAAATGGCCGACAATGTGTCCTAACTTTTAGTAAACAAGTAATCTTTATGTGGCCCAAACCAATATGCAATATGAAATTGGATCACTACATGTGTTGACATATCGTCACCGACACCACGAAGTAACACTCATGTACATACCGGTAAAAACTAGCAATTGGAGAAAACGGCATCTAAAGTTGAACGCCTTCTAAAACAACACTTTGCTTCAAAACGACAGAGTTTTTTTCAGTTGGGTTTCTCGTTGTGGACACTTGATGAATTGAATTAAATAAATCTGCTGTTTTTCACCCGTTTGTGTATTAAATAAACAAGAAATAAGAAAAAAAGATGAGTTTTAGTTCGTGTAACCAAAAAGGCTGCGAAACTGTAAATTTTCGTTTTCACGAAGTAACACTCTTCAATGTATACAACACGAGGAAAGTGAACCTTCAGGTCAGCGCGCGCGCGCTCATACAACTTATTACAAGAAGAGTGTTACTTCGAGAAAACGACAATTGTCACTTTTGCGCAAAAGTTGCCATGGATACTTAGCGTAATTAGTAAAGTAAAGCTCTTGAAGCTTTGAAACTTCGAACAATGGTAGGCCTTGATGAATAATGTTTGAAAATCCAAAAAACTGAAAATCCAAAAAAAATATGGTTTAACACGGTAGAGTGTTACTTCGTGGTGTCGGTGACGATATGTGCTCTGTGCACAGAAACAGAGAGTTTGGGGTGACCTAGACTGGTTCCTGACCCATCCATTGCGTATTTTGAAGGTATCCAAAGTTATTGCAGGCAGGGATTAGTCTCGCGACGGAGACCATTGCAAGTTGAATTCGAACGTATTCACGCACCGCCGACGCCCGACGCTCACGCGAAGACGCGGTGGCTGTAACTTTCGCACATTCAGGAAGTCGTGCGTACTTCGGGCGCGAACAAGTACAGTACAGTATGAGCACGCATACTTGACTTCGTAAAATTGACTTGAGACTTGACTTGACTTGAAAAAAATATGACTTGGGACTTGACTTGACTGGAATAAATTTGACTTGCTGACATTAACACATTTCTTAAAGTTACAAAAAAAAACACAAACCGTGCGTTCGTGCGCACCAGCATAGTCGGTTGAAAAGAATGCAGATATACATAGCGAATTAGCAACCAGCATCCTAAGCATGCCACACGTCATTTACATGACTAGCATTATGCGTGTGTTATGGCCAACGTATACTCGACCTCGTGCATGCGAGGTAAGTTTGTGCCGTGGCGTAGTGAGTGCCATCCGTTGTTATAGAGCGGTCATTCAATAGAGACTATAGGCTACACGTACACATTGAGTAGTTTACCGTGCACTCTAAAAACACATTAGCCAGACTTGACTAGAAACCAGTCAAATTTGACTTGCCATTTAGCGTCAGTTGGGCGCAACTGAAAATCAGTCAATCTGACTAGATTTTTCCAGTCTGTATTAAAAATTAATTATGCAAATAACTAAAATTGGAAAAAGGCTACTACCCCTTATCCGCCATAAAGCAACAAGAATTCACATCATGCATTAAATGAAAACGTTCGGAAGGACATTTTGTCAGACGTCCTTCAAACATTCAACATGATTGAACAAGTTTGAAAATATCAAATCAAAATGCGTTTGTAGACTTTTTAGATAAAAAATAAGGTGTTGGAGAGAAGATATTTCAAAAGTATTTTTTTTTTTTTAATCTCCTTACATGATGCACACTTTTATATACCCCATTCCCATCTCTACTCCTGCTCCGACGTCAAACATATAAACTGGTTCCCTTACGCAGTATGTGCATCCAATATTTGACTCGAGACTTGACTTGACTCGAAAAAAATTGACTTGGGACTTGACTTGACCTTTGAAAAATTGACTCGAGACTTGAGTTGACTTTGAAAACAATTGACTTGAGACGTGACTTGAATTGCTAAAATTTGACTTGGGACTTGACTTGGCTTGGAAAAAAATGACTTGGTAACAACTCTGAAAAACGCGCCCTCTTTTGTTGCGGCACGGATCCCATTGCTACCCTGTCAGATACGATAGTTGATACACTTCTGAATTGCAAACAGGGGCATGGCAGGCGATCACCAAGGAGAAATAATGGAAAGTCTGAAAAGTTGGAATGCGCTGGAACGTTCAACTGGAGAACATCGCCTGTTCCAATTAGGAGTATGCATTGTTCCCACATTGTTCCGCCCGGTGACATTGGTCCAAGCGTGTGCACGCTTACTAGGAAACGGCCTGTTTCAGTTGGCAACACGCTGGAAACACAACACTTTCCAAAAAGGAACGTTCCAAACAGGCATGCAACTGGGAAGTTACTAAAAAGAGGCGAACCAAATGAAATGTATTTTGTTGGTTTGGCAATAAGCGTTTTATTCGCGCCATGGATGATGCGAATTCAATGTTGGGTTTTGCCCTTCACCGACAGACTTTATAAACACTGTACACCCAGTGTTGCCCCCGAGTGATTGTGGGGAAAAAAATTCTTCATTACGGTATCCGCTGCTATATGATTCTAACAAGCCAGCCGACCCCAGCAAGCTCGGTGATCGAGTGGTAAGACATCAGCGCTAGTTAGCAGAAGGTACGTGCTTACAGCCAGACAGATGGCGAGATATCTCTATCATCTCTCCTCTTACATTTCCAAATTGGAATTGGCATTACCTTCAGTTGTTGATACTGTTGGCTCAGACGTACTTCCACAGTAACACCAAATGGGCGTTGCTGACTCACGGACTCCAGTTAATGACTTTAGGACTTTAGCGGCTGGCTGTGGGACTTCAGCGGCTGACGCTGTGGCTTCAGCGGCTGATGATGTGACTTCGGCGGCTGTAGTTGTGGCTTCAGCGGCTGTAGTTGGGGCTTCAGCGGCTGTAGTTGGGGCTTCAGGGACTGTAGTTGTGGCTTCAGGGGCTGTAGTTGTGGCTATAGCGGCTGTAGTTGTGGCTTCAGCGACTGTAGTGGTGGCTTCAGCGACTGTATTGGTGGCTTCAGCGACTGTAGTTGTAGCTTCAGCGGCTGATGCTGTGCTTTCAGCGGCTGAAGTTGTGGCTTCAGCGGCTGAAGTTGTGGCTTCAGCGGCTGAAGTTGTGGCTTCAGCGGCTGAAGTTGTGGCTTCAGCGGCTGAAGTTGTGGCTTCAGCGGCTGATGCTGTGTTTTCAGCGGCTGAAGTTGTGGCTTCAGCGGCTGTAGTTGTGGCTTCAGCGACTGTAGTTGTGGCTTCGGCGGGTGATGCTGTGCTTTCAGCGGCTGAAGTTGTGGCTTCAGCGGCTGTAGTTGTGGCTTCAGCGACTGTTGTTGTGACTCCAGTGGTTGACTCTGTGCTTCCAGCGGTTGACGCTGTGACTTCAGCGGTTGACTCTGTTTCTTCAGAGGTTGTCTTTAAGACTTCATTGGTTGACTCTTGGACTCCTGTTGTGTAATCTGATGTTTCTGGGGTGTTTGGTATCTGTGTGGTTGAGAATTCTGTGGTTCCATCACACAAGCACCAAGTAATAGATGGCTTCGTGGTGTAAGACGGTGGATCTGTGGGATCGGGATAAGGAATATATGTATTACAGCTCTTATGGATTGGACAAGCTTGACTAAACTAAACTGAAAAAAAAAACCCCAGAAACTAGCATTGTTCCTACAATCACTCTCTCTCTCCATATCAACAACTTTTTTTTAAAATCAGAAATGGTGAGCTATGTGTTACTGCGGCAGAGAGGCGATTGGCACCAAGTAGGAGCACTCGCTTACATTCAAGCAAGATTCAAGCATTTCTACTCAAGAACCGAGATATATGTCAAAACTCATTTTTCCAAAAACAATCGTCGACTGGAATGTTCTGCCCCCCCCCCCCCGCTGTCAACGAACATCAAGTCCCACGTCTTCAACAGCAAGTTTCAAGTGAAGTCCCACGTCTTCAACAGAAAGTCTCGAGTCAAGTCCCACGTCTTCAACAGCAAGTTTTAAGTGAAGTCCCAGGTCTTCAACAGCAAGTCTCAAGTCTCGTCTCAAGTCTTCAAAAGCAAGTATCAAGTCAAGTTCCAACTAGTCTTCAACATCAAGTGTCAAGTCAGGTCCCAAGTCTTCAACAGCGAGTATCAAGTCAAGTCCCACGTCTTCAACAGCATGTGTCAAGTTAAGTCCCAAGTTTTCAAGGTAAATGTTAAGTCAAGTCCCAAGTCCTCAACAGCAAGTATCAAGTGGATCCCAAGTCTTCAACAACAAGTACCAAGTCAAGTCCCAAGTCTACAACAGCAAGTATCATGTCAATCCCAAGTGTTCAACAGCAAGTCTCAAGTCAAATCCTAAGACTTTAACAGCAAGTATCAAGTCAAGTCCCAAATCTTCAACAAAAAGTACCAAGTAAAGTTCAAAGTCTAGAACAGCAAGTATCATGGCAAGTCGCAAGTCTATAACAGCAAGTCCGAGGTTTCGTCAAGTCCTAGACTTCTTGACGTATTTTTAGTAGCCGAATCCCAAATGAAAGGTTTGCAGTGACTCTCAGCTTAAATTTCGTTATTTTAATAATCACAACACAAATGTACAGCACACTCAATCACTCTGGTGTCATACCACAAAACCTCAAGAAGAAATCACTGTTTTGTTTTGTCATTGTTTGTTGTTAAATGAGGACCCGTGAATGACCAATTAGGTACGTACCATGGACATTTCCACGTGGTTATTGGCTCTAGGGGTGCAGCCAGTAAATCGGTTCATTCATCGGTTCATCACGATTTATTTGAGCATATTGTGTACAAAATAAGGGTGGAAGCCGTGCACAGGACCGTGAGCTTGTATTTCTGTGAAATTTGGATGAAATTGGGCCTTAAAAGCGCTCTTTTTTGCAATTGAGTGTAGGCACCGTTTTTCAAAATGGTGATGGGCTTCAGGACTGTTTTACGGGTTGATCATCTTCGGTTTGAAAAGAAAATGAAATATGATGAAATAAGCTATAATTTGATGTGTTTCTCGAACACCTTGGAGAGCTATGAGTATTTTTCCTGAATTTCTGAAGTGGGGGCATTCAGCATTGAGGTCTACGGCAGTTTGGGTACTAGTCTCCACCCCTAGCGGTCAAGCTTCATCGGCGGGTAGAAGGCGCTATAGATAAGATGGTGCGGGTGTACTTAATCGATAGAACAATATCGAAAATACTCGAAACAAGGCTACACCGGAAGAGAAAACTTTTAGTTTTTTAAATAAAGAGAGGGTCTCCTCTTTTATCGAGATATCACAACGCCTACTTACCTATTTTCATATTCAACTCACAAACGTTGATTCGAAAAATATGAGCAAAAACGCCATATCCCCAAAAAGAAAAAAGAAAAGAAAAGAAAACGTCCAAACGGGTAAGGGACAAAGAAAGTGCAAACACATCAGTCTCGGTCTCTGCCGCAGTGGTAAGATTCTCTCTTTTTTTGGAAACAATATTGTTGGTATGTGAGGGGGTGAAACTTATAGAAACGAGTTCAATGGATAACCCAGATACGCCCAGAGAGAACTTTTTGCCGTGTTTCTGAGCCTATCTCACGCATTATTTGGAATATCATGGTATAGATTACCGAATTTACAGGCTTGGACAAGCGAGGCATTACGGTAGACTGGGAATCGTTGAGCATGCGCACCGATAGCAGGGGCGGGGTGGATGGATTGGTGGGGTTTGGAAGAATTAGGGGGATAGAAATTATTAGCAGCGTCGTATAAGAGTTTACAAGCAAGACGGAAACGTTCAATGCCAACAGTTGATTTAAAATGCCATGGTCCAATGGTTACGGTGTTTGACTCATTTACGATGGTGGACATAGCCTATGCTAAGAATTACAATTTATTTTATAATGTTAATTATTCTCGGAAATGCAAATCAGGCCTGGTGCAAATGAAGTTGAACGTAAGGTGGGTGTCTTGTGAAAAGCAAATATTCATTAGACAATATCGGGCGTTTTATAATCACTAAGGGAGGATCGGAGGATATCAGGAGGATACATTTCATATGAATATTCAGCGTACATGTAATAATCTAAAATGAAAATTCATATCATAAACACGGGGTGCAATGTGATCTTCTATATTGTTAAGAAACAGCTTTTTTGATGACTCTTAATAATAGGCATACGTTGAGCGGCCGCGTTTCGCGCATAACCAAAGTTTCGGAATCACGTTTCAGCCCGGTTCATACTCGGCGCGAAAGCGAAAGCGAACGCGAATTTGTGACGTCGTGGCAAGTATTCGCGCTGCAAATTCGTAAAAGTTGAACATATTTCAACTCGGGCGAATTTCGCAGCGAATGCTTCGTGACGTCAAGTTCGCTTTGCATTCGCATTCGCATGAAGTATGAAGCGGCTAATGCCCTTAACGGAGCACAAAGGCCACGCACTATTGCCTCGTGGAGTTCGGTCACCTACTATTTTGGCGTCGTAAATCCTGTAAAATTGTTTGTGCTGATGTGACAGATGAATGAATGCGATCTTTTGTGATATACAACGGAAGCTATTTTGGTTACCGCCGGGGGCAGGAAGCTCACTAAAACTCGCTAGTTATTTGTTAAAATTTCAATCGAGTTCAAAGTTTATTCCGGTAGCACCCAAAAGCATTATGCTCGCATAATGCATTGTCCAATGGGAAATATGTGGGAAATCCCCTAGTAAGCGGGGCCTGAAAATTCTGTAAAAAATGAAATTGGCATAGAATCAACTAATTTATCTGAACAGTTTACGCCCCGTGTATTCGACATGGAAATACCACGTTATGTTACATATTGGACCGAAAACGTTCAACCTAGTTGATTGAATTATGAACTGAAAACGAATGCGAAGAACGTAAAGGGCAATAAATAACAAAAGTCGAATTAAAACTGTCCATCTGACGCAAGCAGCTAGCTATATTGCACCATCGATTACCTTAGGTTTGTCACAGACACAAGCATTTTGTGAGCTATTTGAACTATTTTCTGATACTGTATATTTTTTGATACTGTACTGCGCAGTGGGCCGATTGGTCATTGCATGTTTGTTCCCCACGCTTTTTTATGGGAAGGTTGGATGGGGGCTTGCCCTTGCTTCCACGCTGCACTTAAATCAGATTGGCTTGATCGTCCTTGCTTGTAACAAAGGGTGATTATTGTAAAGACATAACTATGTCATAATCAATGATTATTTAATTCAACTTTTAAGCCTGTGGCAAAGTCAAAAAAAAAAACATTGGACAGATTCAGATAAATGGTTCTATGTTCTGAAGTATAGTAAGCAGCCAGGAGGTTCAGGGTTCGAGTCCCACACGACTCAGTGATTTTGTCGAAGTCTTGCAAAGCAATTAGTTAATGCCTGATATACTTTGTCACGACGCAATGTTATGTTTACTCGGCGAAAATGATAAATTTCGAGCTGAAATAATAAATGGAATTTTAAGTTCTTTAAATTATTCTCAAATTGCACACAGATGAGAGCATCGTAGGTTCCAACGTTTTCGTGAGGGTGGGGGATCTCCGGACTCCCTACCAAGGCGTACTTTCGACACCATTCACTCAACCCCCTCTGATAGCTAAATCCGCCCCCTGAAAACGCTGAACTGACCGACCATAAGCACAAATCTAATGTACCAGACCATCTGTCAAACTGTCCCGCTTGATACAGAGTCAGTCTCCTGACAAACCGAGAGATAAAACCTCCAACTCTAAAATTCCCTCTTTTTAATCTCCAGCAACAATATTTTAAAAAAATTCAATACCAGCTAAGGCCAAAAAAAAAGTCTCCGGTTTTCTCGTATGGAGCTTGCCCCAAAATTGTTGCGATGACGCGGCTTTTTTTTTTTTTTTTTTGGTGACTTTTTTTCTTAAAATGTCGGCTGACCCGCGTGCAAACCAGAAACCTGAGGCTTTTTTAAGCCTAATACAGCTCGCGGTGTAACCCAGAAACGCCCAAATATATCAAATAGTCTTTCACTACACCGTGACCAGTTTCTAAAACTTAGATCCGGGATTATATTTAGATTGACACAACAAAGTATGAATGCCATAAGACTGCCCTGGAAACGAAATACTTCAGTTGGTCTATTCAAATGTATAATTGGAAATTTGTCCAGGGGTCAGGTTCTGCACGCCGTCTCGTTCTGGAAATTCGTTCCTACGCATTCACTCAAACCCCCCTGTTTCATGAAAATGCTATACATGTAGTATTTATTTATCATACAAAACTGACCGAACATATTTAAGCACAAAGGTAGTGTACCAGATCTTCTGTCAAAAAGTCCCGTTTGATACGGAGTCAGTCTCTTGACAAACCGAGAGATAAGTTCTCCAACTGTCAGAGAAAAATTGCGTTCAACATTCCAATGAAAAGACATTAGTTGATTGAGTTTTGATTTGTTTAAATTTCTTTTGGTAATGAAACGGAAGGAACTAGTAAAAGACAATGAAGAAATAAGGAACTTTCATTTGTACAGGTGGGAGGAACAAATATACAAGGCAAATCCGCGGGATCAGGTAGGAGCTGACAACCCACGCTCGGCTTGGTGGGGAATGTAACTTGAGTCACAAGGGC